TCGTTGCCAGTTTTTTGCACACTAGTCAACCATTTATAAACACTCTACTGGACCAGAGAAAGGCGTTGCCACACCTCCGAGCTTCACCTGGAGGAAGGCTTTGCCAATTCCCACGGCTCTAAGGCCTTGGCCCCTGTCAATAAAATGTGTTCACCCAGGACTTCATCAACTTCTTACCTCTTCACTCAAGGCTTCCTTGGATCCCTATAATTTTTTGTTTGTTTGAGTTTTGTTTTGCTTTTGTTTTAATTTTGAGACAGAACCTCCTACAGCCCAGGCTGAGCTTGAAGTTATAGCAGAAGATGGTCTTCAACTCCTAATCTCCCTGCCTCCATCTTCCCAGTGCTGGGATTTCAGGTGTGCATCATTCCACCCAGTTTTACACCATGCTGGGAATCCAACCTAAGGGGAGGTAAACCTTTTACCTCTGGGCCACACTGGAGGATGCTAGGCAGGGGCTCTACCACTGAGCTACACACCAGCCCCTCACTGGGGGATTCTAGGCAAGAGCTCTACCACTGAGTCACACCCCAGCCCCTCACTGGGGGATTCTAGGCAGGTGCTCTACCACTGAACCATACCCCAGCCCCTCACTAGGAGATTCTAGACAGCTGCTCTACTACCAAGCCACATACCAGGCCTTCCTTCATCTCTGATGCATAAGAACAGTTGTGTGAGCATCTATGGGTACTGGAAGAAAGGGTTGCTTCCCACAACTGTCTGTATTATTTCCCCCAGACTTCAGGCTTCATTCTGTGTTGTATTGGGGTGGGGGAGGGGAGCTCATTTCCAAATTGTGACATGTTCGGTCATTTGGAGCTAACCCATGGAGTGAGTGGTCAGAAGTATTTATCTGAATTTCCTCCAAAAGAGGAGACATCCCTTGAGGAGGAAATTGGCCACAATTCTGCTAGCTGCAGGTGTAGGTGACATGTGATCCTAGTCCTCAAGTTGTCATTCCTATAAACAGGCCCAGAAGCCAGGCGTGGTGGCACCAGCCTGTCATTATTGGTTGACCAATGATAACTGAGGCTCTACGGCTTGCCTAAGAACAAGCAGGAAGGCAAGACAAAGGGACCCTTACCAACTACTCTCTTCCCTTTTGGCCCCCTTAGGTGCTGACATGGTGGGGGGCACTTCCTTCTCTGCCAATCCTCACAGACACCCAGCATCTATCTCATGGGACCACAGGCTCCTGTCCTGATGTGTTGTTTCTTACTCTCTGTCTCTTGGCCTCTCTTTCACTGTCTTCTCTCTTTTAAAACATATTTTATTTATTTTGGTTTATGCCATAGCATCCCTGTCAGACTCCAAGGACAATTACAGGAGTCAGTTCTCTCCTTCCACTGTGTGGGCCCCAGGGATCCAACTCTGGTGCCTGGGTTGGTGGCAAGCACCTCTCCCCACTGAGCCTTATCACCCGTGTGTATTCTTTCTCTTTCCCTCCCCCTCATCTCTCTCTCTTTCCTCCCCTCTGTCTCTCTCTCTCCACACACACATACACACACACATACACACACACATACACACACACCACACACACACACCACACACACACATACCATACACCACACACACACTCACACACACGCACACACTCACACACACTCACTCACACTCACTCACACTCACACACACACAGTCTCACTCTGCAGTCCACACTGACCTGAAACTCTCACTGTTCCTGACTCAGTCTCCACAGTGCTGGGATGACAAGCCTGTACCACAACCTGCCTGACTGTGCTCTACAGCCTTAGGTAGGCTTTTTGTGGGCCTGGTGGTGCCTTTGCCCTTCAAGTTTGTCCTGAAGAGATTAACCACCTGGAGCGTGCTGCCATAGGCTACCCTGAGTGAGAGAGACTAGACTGCCAACACTCAACTTAGAATTAGTGGGGATCTGAGGTTAGAATCATGCATCTTTTTAAAAGGATTTATTAGTTTAGTTATGTATCTGTTGGGGGGTATGCACATGGATGCAGGTGCCCACAGAGGCCAGATCCCCCTGGGCTTACAAGTAGTCATGGGATGCCTGGTGTGGATGCTAGGGGCCAAACGCAGGTCCTCCGGAAGAGCGGTGTGTGCTCTTAACCACTGCGCCATCTCTCCGGCCTGTCATACGTCTTAAGAGATCACACCTGGGCTTCATTCCACGCCATCGCCAGACCCAGAGTCGTCTAGGAGGGAGCCCGGAGATCTTTGATCTGTGTGTCTCTCTATAAATGCAGGGTGTGGTGGTGCACACCTTTAATCCCAGCATTCAGGAGACAGGCAGGCAGCTTTCCCTGTGGGTTTGGAGCTTGCTAGCCTGGGCTACATAGTGAGTTCCAGGACAGCTGGGATTGTAAGAGACCCTGTCTCAAAATAAAGCGTGCTCACGTTAGCTGATGGATTCTCCCTCTCTTTCTTCCACCCCCTTCTTCTGCCCACCCCTTCCCCTCCACTTTTTATTCTGAGACAGGGTCTCTCTATATAACCCTGGCCGGGCTCCTCTTAAAACACAGTTCTTTTACACTTCTTTCTTTGTGGAGGTGCAAAAATGCACATTCCATAGTGCATATGCGGAGGTCAGAGGACAACTTGTGGGAGTCTGTTCTCAGCTTCCACAGTGTAGATTCCAGGGATCAAACTCCGGTCATCGGGCTTGGTGGCAAGGCTGCAGAGCAGACGATTTGGCCCTCACTCTGTCACTTTGATACAGGGTTTCCCATACAGCCCAGTTCAGGAGCTAAGAGATGGTTCAGTTAATAAGAGCACTTGCGGCAAAAGCAAGAGGACCTGTGTTCAAATCCCCAGGGCCTTTTAAAAGTCGAACATGAGCACCTGCCAGTAACCGCAGCTATGTGGAGCAGAGACAGGAGAACCCTAGGAACTCGAGAGCCTATCTATCTCAGAATTTAAGGTGAAAACAATAGAGGAAGACACCTTGTATCACACATACACATGTGCATATACACATGCGCGCGCACACACACACACACACACACACACACACACGTGCATACACATACACACACAACCACATCTCAGCATAGCATAGCTGTCAACGCTATGTCCTCCTGCCTCATCCCACTCTGAGTTTTCCTTTTGCTAAAGGTTCCCATTGCAGCCTGGGTGTGGCTCAATTTAGAAAGTATAGGTTTGGAGGTGACTTACAGTGTTTAATATTAGATTTAAGGGGGGCTGGAGAGATGGCTCACCGGTTAAGAGCACTGACTGCTCTTCCAGAGGTCCTGAGTTCAATTCCCAGCAACCACATGGTGGCTCACAACCATCTACAATTCAATCTGGTGTATATGTAATAAATAAATCTTTTTTTAATATTTTATTTATTTATTGTATATACAGCCTTCTGCCTACAGGCCAGCAGAGGGTACCAGATTTCATTCAAGGTGGTTGTGAGCCACCATGTGGTTGCTGGGAATTGAACTCAGGACCTCTGGAAGAACAGTCAGTGCTCTTAACCGCTGAACCATCTCTCCAGCCCCATAAATAAATCTTTAAAAAAAAGAAAGAAAGAAAGAGAGGGGAGTTTGAGTAGACAATATAACTCATGCTTGCCTAGAATCCCCCAATGAGGGCTGAGGCATAGCTTAGGGGTAGAGCACTTGTTTAGGGTCTGCCAATAGTCAATGTGGATTCTAGGCTGCACTCTACTGCAGAGCCCCTTTTCCACCACCACCCCTAGCTCTTTCTGACTGTGACAATTCCCAGTTCCTTGAAGACAGTGCCAGTCAGGGGGAGTCTCTGTCAGACTCTGAACTCAAGTCACACAAATAGGCACTGTCCTGAGTATCAGGAGGGAGGTGGACCCACTTTCCAGAGCAACAGTGTGGCCATTGCATGCTGACCCTGGTCTCCTGCAGAGAGCCCTCTGTTCTGTCTTGCAAACTGCCTTAGAGACCAGGACCTCACACCCAAGCTACCTTTAGACCCCGTGCCTCCACATTTGGACTTGAAAGCCAAGCATGGTGGTTTAGGCCTAGGATTCCAGCACTCAAGGCGCTGAGACAGGACCATGAGAGTGAGTCCTTATCTCAAAGTAGAGCGCAGGGCTGGGACACGGCTCAGTCATGAAGCGCTTGCCGTGTAAGCACGGGTGCCTGAGTCCAGTTCACCCACGTAAAGCTGTGTAAGGCAGCATGCACTGTAATCCCTGTGCTGGGGAGGCGGAGGCAGGGGACAGCCACGTTAGCCACATTGGTGAACTCTAGAGACAGTAAGTGGCCTCCCCCCCCCAAAAAAAATTAAGAGTGATTGAAGACACCCAGTGTCAATGCTGGCTTTTGTATGCATGTACCACACTCATTCACTGGTACACACACTAACAAATACACAAGCACATATGCACACGCTTATAGGTTTGCTGTTTTAGGTTTTGTTTGGTTTTTTGAGACAGATTTCTCTGTGTAGCCCTGGCTATTCTGGAACTCGCTCTGTAGACCAGGCTGGCCTCGAACTCTGTGATCCTCCTGCCTCTGCCTCCTGAGTGCTGGGAGTAAAGGTGTGTGCCACTAACACCCAGCTAACAAAGAAATATTTTCCCCTTAAAAAGGTAGATTAAAAACAGAGCATGGGGCTGGGGCGAGGTCCCAGCCATTAAGAATGCTTGCTGCTCAATCATGAGGAATGGAGTTCAGATCCCATTACCGACCTAACAAGCTGGGACCCTGTGTCTGTCTGTGACTGCAGCTCTGAGGAGGGCAGAAGCAGAAGGAACACTGGCACTTGCTGGACTCCAGCTTAGCAGAAGGTGAACCCTGAGTTCAAAAAGAGACCCTCCAAAGACTAGGCAGAGTGATAAAGACACCCCATGCCCTCTTCTGGCCCCCACACGTGTACAGACACATGTACCCACACACATGCACGTGCACTCCACAGGCACACACATAGATAAAGCATGGTAATGTATATTCAAAAAGACCACAAAAGGCCTCAGACTCTGGTTTTTGCACAAGAACCATTTAAGATGCTCCAACATGTCGTGTCTCTCCCTCCCCCAGCCTGGTTCCCACCATGAGTGCAGAGCTCAATGTGCCCATGGACCCCTCCACCCCTGCCTGCCCTGAGCCTGGACACAAGGGCATGGATTACCGAGACTGGGTCCGACGCAGCTACCTGGAACTGGTCACCTCCAACCACCATTCAGTGCAGGCACTGTCCTGGAGAAAGCTGTACCTGAGCAGGGCCAAGCTGAAAGCCTCCAGCCGGACCTCTGCCCTGCTCTCCGGCTTCGCCATGGTGAGTGCGAGGGTGGGGGACTGGGCAAGCGTGGTCCCAGCAAATGAGTCTACTGAGGCCTGCAGTGCTCCAGGGAGCACTTCTCCAAACCCTGACTATAGACAGCTTAGTGGTACTAACCCCACCAACATGAGGGCCTGAGTTCAGTCCCTAGAATTCACAGAAGAAGGAGAGGTCAGAGTTGAAAGTGTGTGCCTGCACTTACACACACACACACACACACACACACACACACACTAAATTAAAAAGCAGAGAGCCGGGAGGTGCCTCAATAGCTACAGCATTTGTAGAACAAGCTTGAGGACTGGGATTCAGATCTCAGAAACCTATGTAAATGTGTGCAAGCATGGTGGCTGTCTGTAATTCCAGTCTTAGGAGGCCGAGACAGAGGAGATCCTCTGAGCAAACTGGCTAGCAGGACTAGCCATGTTGGTGAGCTCTGGGTTTGACTGGGAGCCCTGGCCTCAATGAACAATTTGGAAGAGTGGTTGAGGATGATCCCTGACATCAACCTCATGCCTCTTCATGCATGCACACACATACATGTGTGCAAACATGAACATGCATAACTCACATACATGTGTGCAAACACAAACATGCACACACATACTTGTGTGCAAATATAAACATGCGTGCACACACATGCATGTGTGCAAACATGAACATACATATACTCACATGTGTGCAAACACAAACATGCATACACTCACAGCTGTGTGCAAACTTGAATATACATGTGTGCAAACACAAACATGCATGCACACACATTCATGTGTGAAAACATAAACATGCATAACTCACATACACCACACACATGTGCACTCTTACACACACCTGAGACCTCCACATGAGCACACACATGAGCACACTTGTGCATACTCACACAGGAACACACACATGAGCACACTTGTGCATACTCACACATGAGCACACACATGAGCACACTTGTGCATACTCACACAGGAACACACACATGAGCACACTTGTGCATACTCACACAGGAACACACACATGAGCACACTTGTGCATACTCACACAGGAACACACACATGAGCACACTTGTGCATACTCACACAGGAACACACACATGAGCACACTTGTGCATACTCACACAGGAACACACACATGAGCACACTTGTGCATACTCACACAGGAACACACACAAAATGAACAAGCAAATAAAATAACCAACACTCAAGAGGCAAACACAGTCCGGTGGTGGCGCACGCCTTTAACCCCAGCTCTCGGGAGGCGGAGGCAGGAGGATCTCTGTGAGTTTGAGGCCAGCCTGGTCTACAGAGTGAGTTCCCTGACAGCCAGAGCTACCCTGAGAAACTCAGCCTGAAAAAATAAGTAAACAAAACAGCTTCAGTGAGTAGGGTTTACTGGAAAACTTTGTGTCTTGTTTGCCTCGTCTCAACCATCACCCACGAGTTTGGGAATCTGAGGAACTTGAGCAGGGACTCGGGGAACTATGGCAGATGGCCAGCCCAGCTGGAGCGGTAGATGCTGTCCAAATGTGGCTTTCCCTTGGTGACAATGTGGCCGATGCTTCTAGCCTGGCTCCTGGCTGCTGCCATCACTCTGAGTCACCCCAGGACAAGAGTCAGTTAAGTCTGCCCCACACCCCGCAGGGAACTGGCCAGAGGACAGGCTGTCAGGGTTCAGCACTCCCTCGCTGCTCTGTGCTGGGTACCACTGGGGAGGAAGTGACTTATTCCTTTAAGTCAAGTAATAGTTTGTTCCCACAGCCTCTGCTATCAAACTGGCAGAGCCATATAAAGTAAACATCCTGCATGGGAAGCACTGTGGCAGGGGAACATTCTGGACTGTGAGTGGCCACAGTTGGAGAGTTACACCCTCCTACACAGACGACTAGACCACACAGGGTGGGCAGACGCCACCCACCTCTTAGCAATACTTGGGCCTTTTTCTTCTTTTCTCTTTTTCTGTGTTGTTTGTTACTGGAGATTGGATCGAGACCGTTTTATTTTCAATTTCCTTCGTTTTGTTGTTCTCTAGGGCCTTTTTCATTTTGATTTTTCCCTTTTTGTGTCTATGATTGCACATGCGCGCGTGTGTGTATGTGCATGTGTGTGCGCGCATGTGCACTCGTGCACATGTTTTGCTTGTGTGTGGATGCACATGTATGTATGAGCATGTGCACACAGAGGTCCAAGACAGGAACTGAGAATTACCCCATGTTCTCTACCATCTTATGAGGCAGAGTCTCTCTCCGTCTCTTTTTGTGTGAGTGTTTTGCTTGTATGTGTCTGTGCACACACGTGTGCCTGGTGCTCCAGGAGGCTGAGAGGACTTCCGATCCCTGAAAGCAGAGTGACAGGTGGTCGTGAGCCACCATGTGGTTGCTGGCAGTTGAACCTGGATCCTTTGGAAGATCAGACGCTGCTCTAACCTCTGAGTTATCACTCCAGTGCCCAGGCAGGGCAGGGTCTTCCAATCAACCCCAGGGCCCACCGATGCAGTTAGTCTTTCTACCCCGCTGCAGATCCTGTCTCCCCTTCCCGGGCATTACAGGTGAGTCACACACCACCCAGCGTTTACATGGGTTCTGGGAATCCGAACTCTAACTCTCAAGCTTCCTGGGCAATCATTAAAAGGCCTTAGGACCTTTTAAGAATATTTATTTGTGTGTATGTGTCTGTGTGTGTGAATGCATGCACCAGGAGGCCAGAAAAGGGCATCGGAGTGTCTCCATCACTTGGAGGATCCGGAGTTCGGAGTCACCCTCAGTCACATAGTAAGTTCAGGGCTAGTTTGACCTGCCATCAGACCGTGCCTGGGGGGAGGCAGCTACTGTCAAGTGTGGTGTCAACGTGTAGCCTCAAATTCATGATCCTCCTGCCTCAGCCTCCTGATTGCTGCAGTTAAAACGTCTACACCACCATGCCCGGCTTCAAAGATCATTTAGTCTTCCCCAGGGCCTACTGGGTGCAGTTCATGTAGAGACGTGGGATCCAGAGGAGGCTTTGGTCTCTGACAGAACGAGGGACCCTCCGCAAAAGAGGAGGGACAGGCATGCGACGTTAGGCACTGCCATGGCCAAGCTGTAAGTTGGATCCACCTCTCTCCTGATACTCAGGATGAATCAAAATTTGTGTGACTAGCAGTCAGAGTTTGACAGACAGCGCCCGCCCACTGACCCCTCGAACTGTCACAGTCAGAAAGGGCCAGGGGTTGGCAGTGCGGGGAGGGGCCCTGTGGTAGAGTGCTGCCCAGCATGCACAGGTATGCTGTCACACACCTGTCATCGCAGCACTAGCCAGGCAGGAGCAGCAGGGCTGAGAGTTCAAGGCCCTGACTATCTTGGAACTGTGTGTAGACCAGACTGACTCGAACCCACAGAGATCCGCCTGCCTCTGCCTCCCCAGTGCTGGGATTAAAGACGTGCGCCACCACCGCCAGGCCAGACTTGACTTTCAAGCTCACTTGAAAGAAGTGTGTGACAATCAGATTTTGCCGTTACAGCTGGGACTTATTCTCACGGCCAGAGTTGTGCAGAACTCATTTTCTACCCTGCCTTTTGTCTGTTTTAGTTGTGGATGGAAAGTTGAGACATTTACAGGACTTTAATATAATGCACTTATTTCCTTTCCTTTTTTATTTTCAGACAGAGCCTCACTGTGTAGACAGGCTGTCCTTGAACTCACTGTGTAGACAGGCTGTCCTTGAACTCACTGTGTAGACACGCTGTCCTTGAACTCACTGTGTAGACCATGCTGACCTCCAGCTGCTCAGATCCTCTTCCTCCCTAGTGTGTGTGTGTGTGCACCTGTGTGTGTGTGCATGTGTGTGTATATGTGTATGAGTACGTGTGTGTGCATGTGTGTATGAGTGCATGTGTGTGTATATATGTGTATGAGAGTGTGTGTGTGTATGTGTGTGTGTGTGTTGCTGAGGATGGAGCTCAGAGCCTTGTCTGCATCCCAAGCCACGCCGCCCCCCAGACAGATGGCTCCCTTTCTCTGTGCAGTACAGGCTTGGAACTCACTCCATCAGCAGCTGTCAGTTTTGGACCCAGGCCTTAAGACCATTTGGCTTCCCAAACTTTGGAAGAATTTATAGCATCTCACCCAACAATACACTCACCCAAAGGAAAGCTTAAGCCACTTGTGAGATTTCCAGACAGGTTCTGAGAGTGATCAGACATGCAGTATGCATTCTGGAGACAGGAGGGTACTCTAGACTTCATGGCAGTCTTTTTTTTTAAATTAATTTATTTATTACAGCCGGGCGTTGGTGGCGCACACCTTTAATCCCAGCACTCGGGAGGCAGAGGCAGGCGGATCTCTGTGAGTCCCAGGACAGCCTCCAAAGCCACAGAGAAACCCTGTCTCAAAAAACCAAAAAAAAAAAATTATTTATTACATATACAGTGTTCTGCGTACATGCCAGAAGAGGGCACCAGACTGAATTGTAGATGGTTGTGAGCCACCATGTGGTTGCTGGGAATTGAACTCAGGACCTCTGGAAGGGCAGTCAGTGCTCTTAAGCTCTGAGCCATCTCTCCAGCCCCATGGCAGTCTTGAGTACACTGACAGGCCTGGAGAGGAGGTCATCCTGATGGCCCAGATACCATGTGACCTCAGCTTGGCTATGGCGGCCATGCTTAAAGTAGTAACTCATTTCTGCCGTGTTTGTGCAATCCTCCAGTCCTGGTAGATACATTTGTTTGTTTGTTTGTTTGTTTTTCAACACAGGGTTTCTCTGTGTAGCCCTGGCTGTCCTGGAACTCACTCTGTAGACCAGGCTGGCATTGAACTCACAGAGATCCGCTTGCCCCTGCCCCTTAAGTGCTGGGATTAAAGGCGTGTACCACCAACTCTCAGCTGTTTTATTTATTTATTTATTTATTTGTTTGTAGATACTTGTAGAAGCAATTTGGAGATACATTTAAGAAGTTTCCTGGTGCCCTTTGCATCTCTTCTGGAAGTTTCCTCTAGTGCACTGTTACAGAGCAGAGTCAGGGTCACTAGGCAAAGCTGTTTGCTGCCAAGCTCGATGGCCTGAGTTTGGTCCTTGGAACTCACATTGTAGAAGGAAGAGAAGCAACCTGTGCAAGGTTTCCTCTGACCTCTGCATGCCTGGTGTGGCACACGTGTGCTTAAGCACGGGAACGTGCATATGTGCACACATGCACACACACAATTAAAACAAAAACTTTTTAAAAGGAGAAAGACAACCCAAAGTGGGCTGTGGGCTTAGTGGATTTCCTTAGTCTACCACCAGTAAGTCAGGCTGTAACTCAGACTTACCTTTGGGGCAGCTGGGGGAAACTGATGACTAAGGCTGGAGGCGTGTCTCTGCAGTACAGCCCACCCCACCACGCCCACTGACGGTCATGGCGGCCGCACCCCTGCCCAGCTGACCCCGCCCTGCTGTGCCCACAGGTAGCCATGGTAGAGGTGCAGCTGGAGACACAGTACCAGTACCCACAGCCCCTGCTCATCGCCTTCAGCGCCTGCACCACGGTGCTGGTGGCGGTGCACCTGTTTGCCCTGCTCATCAGCACGTGCATCCTGCCCAACGTGGAAGCCGTGAGCAACATCCACAACCTCAACTCCATCAGCGAGTCCCCGCACGAGCGCATGCACCCCTACATCGAGCTTGCCTGGGGCTTCTCAACCGTGCTGGGCATCCTGCTCTTCCTGGCCGAGGTGGTGCTGCTCTGCTGGATCAAGTTCCTCCCAGTGGACGCCAGGGGCCAGCCGGGCTCCCACAGGCACACGGGCTGGCAGGCCGCGCTGGTGTCCACCATCATCATGGTGCCCGTGGGCCTCATCTTCGTGGTCTTCACTGTCCACTTCTACCGCTCCCTGGTGCGGCATAAGACCGAGCGCCACAACCGCGAGATCGAGGAGCTGCATAAGCTCAAGGTGCAGCTGGACGGGCACGAGAGAAGCCTGCAGGTGGTGTGAGGCCTGTGCGGTTTGGGACAGCCGGCAGGAGAGCGACCCTCAGGCGGTGCTCGCCACCACGCCGCTGGCAGGAGTAGCTAAGGGGCTGTCGGACCAACCCTAGCCTCATGGGAGCCACGACTGCGTCACAAGAGGTGCAGTGGGGATTGCTAAGCAGACTGCACTGATGCTGCCCATGTGTCCGTACTCCTCGGATGAACACGGGTCTAAAGGAGTGAGAACACCACTTTATCAGAGGCCAGAGGAGGAAACGTGTTCACATGGCCCTGGGGACTTCCTGGATCAGGGACAAGCTGAAAACACCTTGCCCTGGGAAGGGGTCCCAGCACACCAGAGGCCACGGTAGATCTCAGACATCTGGGCCTTGTGACTGGCAGGGCAGGGCTGAATTCCCAAGGCCGGCTGAAGGGCTGGGGCTCAGTAGCTTGCCTAGTGTGCAGGAAGCCCTGGGTTTGAACCTCAGCACTAAAACCAGGTGTGGTCATCGCAGTTCTAGGGAGGTGGAGGAAGGATCAGGAGTTCGAAGTCGCCCTCTGCTACATGGTGAGTTTGAGGCTACATGAGACACTGTCAAAGACATGCGCACGCATGCATGTGAGCACACACACACACACATGAAGACTAGACTAGGGTGCTGGAGAGGGCAGAGATGAGCCCAGCGCCTGCACAAGGTGACATGGCTAACAATGACACACAGAGACGTGGTGACTGATCAGTCGTTCAGCCTGGTGCTCCCTCCTACTCTGGAGGATCCAGGGGCACACAGCAGTTCAACATGGGTAACCGATACCATTGTTGGAATCAGAGTTGCCTGGTCCTAAAGAGATGACCCTGTGTGGGAGGCTTGGCAGGGTTAAGGAGAAATGCCCCAGAGCCCTCCACCATGGGCTCACTGAGGTCAGAGACGGACACACACACCACACACAGCAGACTCCCGTGCAGAGGTGTTCACCTCTTAGCCATTAAATGAGCCTGAGGCGGCCACCCCTGTGGACTGTGCCAGCACAGGCAGGGGCACCATCTCAGACCAGCCAGCTCAGCTCCCTGATGCCTGTGGCCCCCAGATGTTGAGGGTAAGCTGGAGGAACTTCCTGTTTTAGCACAGCCATCAGCCTGGTCTGGCCCATAGGCAGGTACTCGTCAAGACAAGCCCAGTCAGCTGCAGAGAAGAGGGGACCTCTGCCCTGTGCCGGCCCTGCCAGGACTCAGTGCAGGCCCCGCCCCCATGTTTGCACAGCTGTGCATGAGTTCAGCTTCGTGCTGCGGGCATCTGGCCACCCAGCTGGTGTTGCATGGGACACTGTGTTCACCCATTTCTGCAGCCCCACCAGACAGGACTTTGACCTCTTACTCTATATAATTGGTCACTGGGCTCCTGCAAGTGCCACTTCTGTTTCTTACCACAGAGGGCCCCGGGGAACCTTGTGAATAATCTTCCTTGTAAACTGTGACATCTTGGGGAACTAGGACATGGTGTCCTGTGAACCCAGGAAATTGCCCTGTTTTTCGAAGGTGTGTCCTTCAACACCCCTTCACCCCTGAAGACATCTGTCTTGAGACCCCTTGAGGTCTTAGACCTCTGTGCTTTCCTGGGGTCTTTGGGAAGTCAGCTTAGTTTGATTTGTTTTGCTGACGGATGCTAGAATCATGGATGGGCAAGATGGCTCAGTGGGTAAGGGCATTTGCCACCAAGCCTGGAGACCTGAGTTCAATCCCCATCCTCTGACCTACATGAAAATAAATACAGTAAGAAAGCTGATTGAATGTTGTTACATTGTAAGATGGCACCTGTGTCCTAGCAGGGAACAGACAGGATGATGACCTTCTGGAGTGGGCAGCTCCCCCTGCTGCTCACCTCCTGAAACACCATGTTGAAGGGCGAGGATGTAGCTCAGTGGGCAGCGTGTTTGCCCAGCACGCATGAAGCCCTGGGTGTGACGTCTGCACCGCGTAAACCAAACAGGGTGGGATGCATCTGCAATCCCAGCATCCAGGTGGTGGAGGCTGGAGGATCAGGAGTTCAAGGTCATAGTGAATTCAGGGCCAGCCTGCAGATGGTTCAGCGGTTAGGAGCACCTAACTGAAGCCGGAGTTCAGTTCCCAGCACCCACACGGGGCAGCTCACAACTCTAGCTCAGAGGATCCAGTGCCCTCTCCTGGCCCCTGCAGGCACCTACACTTGTACATATATACACATACAGGAGAGAGGGAGCTCCTGTTGGACATTGAACCCATTGCTTCCGCCCATTTTCTGAGACCATTTGGTGCTCCAGCTCTTGGCGTGCCTGGCACTTAATGGTGTGTAACTCCTGTCATTCTCCACGCTCTCCCTTCTAGTCTTCCATGGGACAGCCATCGTGTGTAAACGGGCTTGCCCACGAGACCCCTGGCGGGCAGAAGTCCCGGGGCCCTCCCAGAGCTTTGCCAGGAGCTGGAGGAGAAGCCTTCACTGTGAACAGTGGCAGGCGCCAGCAGAGCAGGCTGAAGGCTGCAAGTTTGCTTTCTGGAGACATAACCTGATTTTACGTCTCGTCCTAACCACAGCCACGTGGCTCAAACCACAGTGCCCCTACCCCCGGGGCCTGAACAGGCTTGCCCTAATTTCATCTATCCAAGATGCAGCCGTTCCTAGTGCTCAAGGGACCAGTGTCCTCCGATACAGCAGGGCCCTTCCCAACATGGTATACAGCCTCCCTGTACCCTTGACCACAAAGGCTCCAGATGCAAGCATCTCTACTAAAGAAACTAGAGGCAGAGCGTGATTAGCGTCTTCCAGGGAGGTCTACGAGAACAAACTACAAGAGCCCAGAGGGCTCAAGACCGTCTGTGCCACTATTTCTCCAGGACCCTGGATTGAACTGAATACACTGATAAAGCTTTGGAGACTCTTGCTTTTGGGAAGTGTAAGCCATGGCTCAGGGCTCCACCCCAGGGCCTGCTACACTGCTGACCCTCAGTCCTGGCATGAGAGCTCTTTACCTGGAGTCTATGCTTCGCCCGTATTGCTGGTCACTGCTCCTCCTAGGACAGGCAGGCAGGCAGCTGGGACCAGGCATGCGTTGGGTGAGGTCCCTGTGACTGGACCAGAGAGAGCCTTGCACTCGGCAGCAGGCAGCTCCCCACAACCTTTCTGAAGACAGGGAAGGGAAAAGGCAGGCCCGATGTGGGTGACCCAGAAACCATCGGGACAAGGCCAGCTAGATTTCTCAGGCTTCCACAAGAGGAGCCCTGAGGTGTTGATCCCTCTGATCCCTGCGCTCTGGAACCACTACCCAGGTCACCCACTGGGGCCACCAACAAACAAGACACCCAGGACACTGTTTGGAGAAGCTGCCCAGACGTGGGGGTCCCTCCCAGGAGAGATTTTTTCTTGGAGTGTGTGCATGCGTGTGTGTGTGTGTGTGTGTGTGTGTGTGTGTGTAGGCGCACGCGCGTGCGTGCACACACACACACACACACACAAACCTGTGGTGGAAGGCAGAGGTCAGTTTCAGGTACCATTCCTCAGACATCATCTTTAGTTGAGACACAGTATCTCACTTGACTGGGAACTCGCCAGTTGGGCTAGCTTGTGTGTCCAGGGAAGCCCAGGTATCTCCCTGTGCCTGCCTCCTCAGTGCTACAACAAGCATGTGTACCACCAATGTGGGAACACAATATGTGTCCTGAGTCCTAGGGATGGTTTCCGCCCTTTAGACCCTCAGCCCAGAGGATCCTGGGAGTCTGGTGTACAGAGCACTGACATATGGGGATAGCTCCACAGGCCAAGGGGCAGCCAACAGGAACTGGGCTCAGCACACAGCCAGCCAAGACACGGTTTGCCAGCCCTGAGCAGGTCAGTGGTCAGTGCCTAAAATGGAAGCCCGGTTTCTTTTTCTTTTCTTTTTCTTTTCTTGAGACAGTCTCACTGTCACTTAGACTGGCCTTGAATTTGACATGTAGCCCAGGCTGACTTGAGGTCAGTCTCCCTGCTTCTGCCTCCCAAGTGCCGGGATCACATGCGTGTCTCCACCCAGACAGCCAGTCCCTCTTCCTCTGAACAGGGAGCCGCCGTGGAGCAGAGCTTCCCAGTGAGTGCAGCCTGCACACTCAGACTCTCCTTTTCAAGGCTGATGCAGAGGGCGAGAACAGGTGACAGGCCACAGGACAGCTTGAGAAATCTTGAAGGGACTGACTCGTGGACATGGTTTTAGGCACCAGGAAGCACAAGCATGCTGTCACACTTCTGTGGTGGCTGGCGGAGACCAGATAGGACCCTGGGCCATCTGTGCTCTGCAGCCTAATGCTGAGGTGAGCAGCCATGCTGGAGCTGTGAGGTGGAAGTCAGCAATGCTTAGCCCAGATTAGCCCACGACGTGTGATCCTCCCGCCTCTGGAACGTCTCTGTGTCACTGTCTGTAGCAGTGTTCTTAAGGTAAGTTGTGTCGTTGCCAGAAGGGGACCTACCCAGTGCTGGTAAGCATCAGGCTGGGCTGGCAAGGACTGTTTAATTACATTTGCAGGGAGGGACCACACAGATGATAACTCATTCAAGCCTCTCACCTCAGGGCCCAACCACTTACAAGACAAGCAATCTTTTAGAGCTCAGCTATACCCCAGCCCCTCACTGGGGGATTCTAGGCAGGTGCTCTACCACTGAGCCACTCCCCAGCCCCTCACTGGGGGATTCTAGGCAGGTGCTCTACCACTGAGCCACACCTCCGCCACTCACTCAGAAGCAGAGGCAGAAGAATCCTTGTGAGTTTATGGCCAGCCTGGCCTACAAAGTCCCAAGCCAGCTAAGGCTACACAGTGAGACCCTGTCTTTTTTGTTGTTGTTTGTTTTTCGAGACAGGGTTTCTCTGTAGGGTTGGAGGCTGTCCTGGAACTCTCTTTGAAAACCAGGCTGGCCTCAAACTCACAGAGATCCGCCTGCCTCTGCTTCCCAAGTGCTGGGATTAAAGGCGAGCGCCACCACCGCCTGGCGAGACCCTGCCTTAAAAACAAAATTACAACTCCTTCACACAGAGATGGGGAAAAGAGAAAACGGTTTCACGTGGGAACAAGGTTTTTCTTTTATTATAAATTTTATCAGAGGCACTGCATGTGTGGAGGACAAGAGTTGGTTCCAAAGACTCAGCTCATGTAGTCAGACTCGATGGCAAGCACCTTTACCCACTGAGCCATCTTGCTCCTCCCAAATAATAAGGTTTCTAAAGACTGAATTCCTCCAAACTGTGACAAATTAAATAACCCAGGGAGCAGCCGAGAGCCAGGCCCATCAGAACCAGCTCCAGGCAGGATATGTGATGTCTACGACATCAGGGTCACACGCTCCTCGGGAAACCTAACCAGTGTGCTGTCATCCCAGCACTTGGGAGGCTGAGGAAGGAGGAACGCGAGTTCAAAGCCAGGCTACATGGTGAGTTCCAGGCCAGTATGGTCCATACGAGACCTTGTCTCAAAAATCCCAACATGGTAAAGTAATAGCTTAGTTGGAAGAGCACTTGCTTAGCAAGCAGGAAGCCCTGGGTTCCATCCCAGTACGAAAAAAGAAAAAAAAAAAAAAGACCGTTGTGCTACACACTGGCTATCCAGCATTCAGGAGGTAGAGGCAGGAGGATCAGGAGTTCAAAGTCATCCTTGGCTGTATAGCCAGCTGAAAGCCAGTCTAGGCCAGAAGAGAAACAAAACAACCTTGATAAAGCCAGGCCTGATGTGTACACCTGTAATTCCAGCCCTGGGAAATGGAGGCTGAAGAATCAAGAGTTCAAAGTCATCGTCAACTACAGAATACACTTGAAGGCAGCCTAGGCTACCATGAGACCTTGTCTTAAGAAAAAGAAAGAGAAATCAGATGAATGCAGTGATTTGTGGAGACCTCCGTGTTCCAGGCCAGTGACAGCTCTCATGCCCAGGGCTGTGCTCATACGGGCCTCCCTCGGAAGGAGAGGGCAGCCTGCAGCAGCTCCCGCCCCAATGTCTGTTGCTTCCCCCCAGGCAGGAACTCACTGGACAGCTCTCTGAAGGTGGCGCACACACGCCGGGCATTGATGTGTCTGCGGTGGATGGCATGTGCCCACTGGTGCCGTGCAGCCCCTGTGAGCACCAGCAGGGAGCGGCAGGGTACAGAGATGGCTACCTCCACCTCCTGGCAAGGGACAGACCTGCTAGGGGCCACGACGCTGCCATCAGAAGCGTCAGGTCCCACGGAGGGGGCCTCGCTGAGCAGCAGGCTGCCGGGGGCCTCGCAGGACATGGACACCACGGTGGCCGATAGGAGGTTGAGGCTCACCAGCCGCTCGCCCCACAGCCAGGCGTCATCCAGGTGGGGGTCGATGGCTGAGCCCCGCTCTGGACTGTAGTCCAGATTACACTGTTCCACAGGCTGGAAGTCCTCCAGCCCCGGGTAGAGGCCCATTCTCTGGACCACCTTCTGGCTGAAGCTGGGGAGACCCTGGAAGCCAGCCATCTTCAGTTTCTGCTTCCGAAAATTGACTTTTGGGCCATAGTCCTGGAGTGGAGATAGGAAGGAATGGAGAAGGGGCTCAGCTTAAGAAATGCCAACTACGAACTGGGTTCGGCTGGTGTGCGCATGGGACCCCAGCACCCGGGAAGCTCAGGGAGGGTAACTGGCTAAAGTCCAAGGCCAGCTGGAGTACAGGACTTATCTTGATGGAGAAGGGGGAAAATGCCAGCGTCGTACTGCCTACAGTCCCAGCATTTGTGAAGGGGAGGCAGGAGGACAGGAAGCTCACCTACACAGCAAGTCTAAGAACAGAGTGGTCCAGTGAGAGCATGTTGTGGGGGGGGCTTCCTGGAGGGGGAAGGGACAGGGGTCCAAGGTGGGAGTGGATGAGACAGGGAGCCCACGGGGGCCACAGCCTGTCCTGAGGGTCAGGGCAGAGTGGGTGGCGGGGGTGGTCCCAGCACAGGGAGAAACTTGAAGGGAGCTCCTACTGCCGATTTAACCAAACACTGAGGTGCCAGGAACCAAGGGTGAAGCTGCTATAGGAACTGCTTAAATCGTGAAGTTGGGGGAGGGGGCTGGTGAGGAAGGTACCATGGTCCCTAGGAGCATAGCAGGAGCCCTGACACAGGACGAGGGAGGGGGAGAGGTAAGCCGCCTGCAGCCGTGCAGGATGGAGATCCTTATCAGCCGTGCAGGATGGAGATCCTTATCTAGAACGCAGTCATTTCCCAAACAATGAGACAGCAGCACAGAGACTGTGGCAGCCCTGCTTGGTGAGGAAGCCCACACCCACCCCTGTGACTACCAAAGGTCCCTAGGGTGTGGCCACAGGAGACAGCCAGGGGCCTCTGGCAAAGGGACCATACCTGTTTCCTCCGCCCAGACTGAGAGAGCTTCCAGGGGTCACTGTCCATCAGATGCACCATCTCAGCCTCTTCCTCTGGGGTCACAAAGTCTTTTATCAGTGTCACTCCCGGGAAGGGGAAGGCCCAACCCTTAAAGTCAGAGTCCTCAGGCCCCACGGCGCAGCCTGAGTCTGGGCAGTAAAGGAAATGGTATTTTTTCTGTAAAGGACAGAGATGGGATGGTGTGATGACTCAGTTGGTGAAGTGCTTACCTTGCAAGCACAAGGACCTGAGTTCAATCCCCCAAAACCCACATGAAAAAAGCCAGCTGCGTGAGTTCGAGGCCAGGCTGGTCCGACAGCCTCAAAAACAATACAGAGAAACCCTGTCTCATAAAACAAAACAAAACAAAACCAACAACAACAACAACAACAAAAAGCCAGGTGTGGTCATGCATGCAGAGCTGGGAGGCAGAGGCGGAGAGATCAAGGACAAGCTAGCCTGGCCTCGCGGGCACGCTCTAGGCCAGTGAGACCCTGGTTCAGAAAGCACGCTGGGTGTCTGAGGTTGTCTGGCCTCCATGTGTACATATGTACCTGCACACCCCAAAACAGAAGCACCCCAGAACCCAAAGACCCACATGTGCCCTAGGCCCCCAGGAGCTTCTGGCCTCTAGGTTCCGATGCTCTTCTTGGGATGAAGCCGTGTGGAGAGGTGTCTGGAGGCCCTGGGGTGACGCAGACAGAATGGAGCCCAGCCCTATGGCCCTCTGAAGCAAACGTGAACTCTCACCTCGAATTCATTCTTTGCTCTCTAAGGAACTGGCCCTAGGCTGGGATGTGGGCATTCTCCTTTGGCATTGTGGCTGTCACCTGACCCCTTAGGGTCACCGGGGCAAAGGGTAGAAGGCTGTACAGGGGTCTGAGAAGGCTGACCCTGAACCTGTGGTCTGGGTGGCCAGGGGTTGGGCAATGCTTGTTGGGAGCCACAGATTCACATTTCCTCAGCCCAGCTCCTGCCTCCTCTGAGACTCAGAGGTATAACGGTAGAAACTCATTCAAAAAGGGCCAGCTTAGGGGCTAGGGGGATGGCGCAGGGGTTAAGAGCACTGGATGCTCTTCCAGAGAACCTGAGTTCAATTCCCAGCACCCACATGGCAGCTCACACCTGTCTGTAACTCCAGTTCCAAGGGATCCGAGACCCTCATGAAGACAAACAAGGGATTCCGGCATTACACTGGCCTGCCTGTCACCCGGCAGAATGCACTCAGGCAGTGCCCTGGTCAGCCCAGGGTTCCATGGTTGCATAGTCTGCACCAGGTACAAAGGACCCCTTTAAAAGAAAGACCCTCCCCCTTACACTCTCCTTCCCGATGTTCCCTGGGGCAGACAGGACTTTCCTGTCTCCCTCTTCTCTTCCATCCTCTCTGTCTCTGTGTCTCTTTACCTCTTTTCTCTTTCCTTCCCCTCCCCCTCCCTTTCCAATAAAACTTCTCACTTAAGCTCTGTCTGCCTGGCGCATTTGTGTGTCCCGTCCTGTCCTGTCCCGTGCCCCCCCAATGGAATCCGCCAAGGTCCCCCACAAGCTTTATCATAACATCAATGCCTCTAAAATAAAATAAATTATTTAAAAAGGGGGGTAGCTGATATTAGAGGCTATAGCTCAGATAGTAGAGTCCCTGCCTAGCATTCGTGAAAGCCCAGCACTGCGAGTACATGTAATTCTGTGTACAGGTTAGGGTGATCAGGAGTTCATGGCCATCCTTCACTATATGGTAAACGAGGGCTAGAGGGTCCCCAGTACCCACCGCCTAACTTACAGGATACACACCACATTCAGTGTCTCAACCATGCTCCCTGTCCAGTTCAGGGAGTTCAGTACATGGACACTGGTATATATCCACTTCTAGAACTCTCTCTCTCTCTTTTTTTTTTTTTTGCAAAACTGAAACCAGACAGCTATTAAACATTAAGTCCCCATTTTCTTCTCCCATGATTCTACTTTCTGTGTCTAGGATTCTAACTACTTTATATACCTTATAAGAGAGATCACACAATATCTGTCCAGCTATGATGAACATGTGTGTGCACTGGAGATAGAACCCAGGGCCTAGCACATTAGGCAAGCATTCTATCACTGAGCCACACACCACCCCCTCACTGGGGGATTCTAGGCAGGGACTCTACCACTGAGCCACACCCCCAGCAAGTGATTAGCTTCTTTCATTGAGTATTGTGTCCTCAAGGTTAATCCATGTGTAACTATGTCAGAATTTCCTTCCTTTCCAAGGTTATGAAACAACCTACTGTATATATATCCCAGATTTACTTGTCCATTGATCAGTTTATTGTGTTTCTGTCTTCCCTTTGCTCTTTGGAGACACAGTCTCATTTAGCTTGGTCTGGTTTTAAGCTTGCTATGTGGCTGCAGCTATGTATGAACTCCCAAACCTCCTGCTTCCAGCTCCCAGCTCTGAGATCACAGGCCAGCCCCACCACCGCCCACTCTTCAAGTCACTAAACACTTGGGTAGCATCCACCCTGTGATTACTGTGAAGACTGCCGTGAGCCAAACACGGTGACCCATGCCTGTAATCTTAGCGTTTGGAAGGGGAGTAAGGAACTAAACAAAACAAAACAAACTTTCTTTTGCATGTTGACCCAGGAACATGGTGGATCACATGATCAGTCTATTAATGAGGCGCTGCCCACCAACAAAGTGCTGGGCATTTTAGCACCAACAGAGACTGCTCACTGGCTTTCCAGCCTCCTCACCCAAGGATCCTTCTAAAACTTGAATTTAAAGTTCTTTTAAAACCCGATATTAGCCCGGCGTTGGTGGCGCACGCCTTTAATCCCAGCACTCCGGAGGCAGTGACAGGTGGATCTCTGCGAGTTCGAGGCCAGCCTGGTCTACAGAGCGAGTTCCAGGACAGCCTCCAAAACAATACAGAGAAACCCTGTCTCGAAAAACCAAAAAAAAAAAAACAAAACAAAACAAAACAAAACCAAAAAAAAAAAAAAACGATATTAAGCCGGACGTTGGTGGCACACGCATTTAATCCCAGCACTCGGAAGGCAGAGGCAGGCGGATCTCTGTGAGTTCAAGATCACCTTGGTCTACACAGCGAGTTCCAGGACAGACTTCAAAACCATACAGAGAAACCCTGTCTCGAAAAAAACCCGAGTTTGGTGCCACTTAAAGCCACAGCCGCTTCCCTACTTCTCGGACTTGCGGACTTGAGGCGGCCGAGGTTGGTCCCCTGCCTCTCTGCCTTTCTAATGCAGGAATCTGGCCACACCAGCGCTTCCCGCTCTCCCATTCATTTTCAGATGACGGCACTTAGGGAGCGTCCACTTTTGGGTCACCGTGAATAACAAAGCTACGAGCGCTCCAAGCAGCTCCCGTTTCACAGGCAAGCTTGGGCCTCCGCTTCCCGTTAAGAGGGGATAGGTTTTTCTGGGTTTGACTCTCTTCCCAGCCCGTACCTGAGTGGAGATCTGCCAGGGAGGAGGCCCTTGGCGCAGTCTCTCGCAAATAAGACAGGACCGGATGCCCTTGCAGCCGCAAGCCTGCAGATGAGCAGCTTCAGCCGCCCCGGCAACGGCCGTCGCAGCCGCCATAGCGCCCTCCAAGCAGTCACAGCGCAGGCGCAAGGCGCAGGGGCCGCTGGGAGTTGTGGTCCTCGCTCGCGGAGGCGGGAGGCGGGGCGCGGGCCGGCGTTCTGTTTCCTTCCGGTCACACGGATCCTTGGAGGGTTTTGCTGTGCGCCATCTCCTGGGCTCCGCGCCTGATTGCGCTAGTGCCCGGAGTTGGTGGAGGCGCGGGTTTGGCTGAGCCCTCGGACACCCATGGCTCCCCTCACGCAGCGGCTGCTCTTTCAACGCGGGCGACCCAAGACCAACAGCCTGGGAAAGATCCGGAGTCTGGAGTAAGAGCTGGCGGGGTCCTTTCCCCTCCCGGTGGGCAGGGGTGCAAGTCCCAGACCCCTGCCCGTCCCCCGCGCGCCCAAGCTACTCTGTTAGCGGGGGCTCGGGCCCCGTCGAGCCCGCATCTCCCGCCTCTCGGAGATGGCGGGAGTTAATTGGCAGCCCCAGCCCGGAGTCAGGTAGACAAGCATTGCCGGAGGGTGGACGGGCTGTTGAGCACCAACTGGGGTACTGAGGAAGCCGGAGGTCGCGCGGCTGCAGGAACGAGGGAAAGCATTCAAGCGGGAACTTGCAGGCCTTAGGTTCCCAAGTTGTTAAGAGATCTAGCACTCGAGGGCCCGGTGCAAGGCGAATGTTTTGCCTCGGAAGCCAGTCTGAGCTTCGGTTTGAGACCCTGTCTCAAAAAAGAAAACTTTTTAACATTCGAAACAGGTTCTCCTGTTCAGGAACTCGCTTTGTAGATCAAACTGGCCCCGAATGCACAGCCATCCGCCTGCCTCTGCCTCCCAAGTGCTAAGTGCTGGGATTAAAGGCGTGCGCCATCATGGCCGATAACAAAAGTTCTTTAAAGGAGGGAAGTGCGACCAGAGGAATGGCCCCTCGGGTAAAGGTGACTGTCACCAGGCCTGAGCTCATTCCATTGGCCCCACTGTTGAAGGAGAGAGCCAGCTCTCTAAGCCACACGCCTTAGCCACACACACCACACATGCACAGACACTGTCATAAATGAAAATTAATTTTAAAAGTGGGTAGAGTGCCTGTATGTCGTGCACACAGCCGGAGTTTACATAGGGTTCCATCACCGTGGCCATCGGAACTGCTCCCTAGTGGTGGCACATGCCTGTCATCCCAACAAAGGTAGAGGCAGGAGAACACAGAGCTATCCTAGACTACACAGCGAGGTGTGTATTGGATCTTTGAGTTCTGAGGCCAGCCTAGTCTGTGTAGCGAGTTCCAGGCTAGCCAGTCTAAAAAAATAAACAAGTCCTTGTTCTTCACCACGAGAAATTGCTTGGTGCAAATTCCTCTGGGGCAGATGGGGGCGGGGAGGGGACTTGGTGAGTGAAAGGGTCTGTCCAGTCTCCTGAGCTTTCTTGATCTCTGCCCTCACCCCAGTCTCTCGGGGCTAGAGCTGCGGTCAGAGCACTTGGACCCCAATCTCCTGGGGCGTCTGAAGCAGCTGAAGGAACTTGACCTCTCTGACAACCTGCTGGAGACGCTGCCTGCCAACCTGGGCCTGTCCCATCTGCTCATCCTTCGCTGCGCCAACAACCAGCTGTGCGATGTCACTGCTTTGCGCCAATTTCCCAACCTGGAGGAGCTCAGCCTGGAAGGGAACCCCTTCCTGACGGTGAGAGGGAGGAGGTCCCTCCAGCTCGATGCTCTGGGCAGACTCCGGGTTCACTATTTCTTTCCGGTTTTGCTTTCTTTGAGATGGGGTCTCGAGTAGCCCAGGCTGGTTTCAGATTAGCTGTGTAGCCAAGGATGGCCTTGAGCTTCTTTCTGATCCTCCTGCCTCTGACCTGAGTCATGCTGCACCAAGCCTGGTTTGTGCGGTACTGGGGATCAGACTAGGGGCTTTACGAGCGCTAAGAAAGCAATCTCTCGACTGGGTTTTTGTTGTGTTGCTAGTTGAGGCCAAGTCTTGCTTTGTAACTCAGACTGGCCTCCACCTCACTGTGAATCCCAGACTGACATCAAACTTGACATCCCCACCATACTCTCCCCAAATACTGGGATTACAGGCATTCACCACTATTCCTGGCTTTCGTTATTTCTCCATCCTTTAGGTCAATGACAACCTGAAAGTCTCCTTTCTCCTGCCCAAGCTACGTAGGGTCAATGGCAAGGACACGGCCTCCGCCTGCTCACAGGTGGGGAACCTCGATCGGGAGCTGACCAACAGGGTAAGGATGATGGGAGTTGATGGAGGGGGTCCTTGGTCACGTCAGCAAGGTATGGAGGGGGGAAGAAGTGGATTTTCGGGGGAAGTGTTGCTCTGACAGTCTTGAGTCTGTGTTCTTGAGTGGGTTTTTTTTTTTTTGTTGCTTCCCCTGTTTGGAGGGCGTGTCTCCGAGGTGTACAGCAGGGAGGCTACAACTCTGCAGTGAGCTGTTTATGGTTTTTGTTTTGATAATTTACTTATTTTTGTTTGTTTTTTGTTTTTCGAGGCAGGGTTTCTTTGTATTGTTTTGGAGGCTGCCCTGGAACTCACAGACATCCGCCTGCCTCTGCCTCCCGAGTGCTGGGATTAAAGGCGTGCGCCACCAACGCCCGGCCAATTTACTTATTTTTAATATCTTATGTGCATCAGTGTTTTTCCTGCATGAGTGTCTATGTGAGGATGTCAGATCTTGAAGTTAGACAGTTGGTGAGCTGCCATGTGGGTGCTGGGATTTAAACCCGGGTCCTCTAGAAGAGCAGACAGTGCTCTTAAACCGCTGAGCCATCTCTGCAGCCCATGAACTGGTGTTTTGAGACAGGGTCTTATATAACCCAGATGGCCTGGGAAACTTTGCGTCAGCCTCCCAAGTGTTGGGATTACCATTCTGCCTAGGTGAATCAGGCTGGTTTCAATTCATGTGACTTAGGTTATGCTAGTAGAGAATAGGAGGCTGTGTTTGCAGAAGCTTCCAGAAGCTCATAGAGTTAATATACCTTGTGCTCAAGGACACAGGGTGGAAGTACCGTGTATGGCCAGGAGACCCGGGCTGGGCTGGGCCTGGATCTGGTCCCTTTTTGCCAGGTCACAGCTCACTGGGAGAAGTTCATGGCCACCAAGAGCCCTGAAGAGAAAGCTGACAAATTCCGGGCTGACTTTGTGACGTCTGCGGTCAGGAATGTGCGTTATGGCCCTGAGTCTCTCATCGAGTTCACCCAGTGGCGGGTATGTCACTGAGGGACACTTGTGCTGGGAGTTGGCTTCCCTGGCTCTGATGGATTGGGGACAATGGTGAGTGGGATGGGTCAGGGAATGGTGACCCTTGCTTGTGCCTAGGGAATCCCTTTTTGAGAGGCACAAGCTCCTGGTGACAAGGTGTCTGGGGAGAGGCTAAGGGCACCTGAGACTGTGCTCAGCCTGCTGAAGGCCTGACCCCATCCAGGTGCGGATGATCGCCGAGAAACTGGTGGCCTCAGGTGGGGCCCAGGCCCAGGAAGCTGACATACCAAAGGGGCCTCCCCAGACTGCATCTGACTCCAAGCTCAGGGTGAGTGTGTTTCCACGTGGCTGTGAGGGTCACGGGCTTTCTGAGCTAGACCAGAGAGGGGGCTTCCACATGAACTTAGGTGATGCCCAAGTTTGGTAGTCAACCTGCCCTTGCTGTGACAAAATACTCAGAATAACTAACTGGCCTACAGGAAGGAAAGGTTAGTTTGGGTTTGTGGTTTCAGTCCATAGTTGCTTGGACCGAGGCTATCACGTGTTGTGAGCTCACACAGCAAGGATGTCTGTGAATCTCGTGGTAGCTTGTATCCCAGGGTCCCCTTCAAAGGGAAGCCTCCCAGTGACCTAAGCCCCTTCACCTACACTGTACTTCTGAGCAGCCCCATGGACTGGTGACCCAGCCCTTCAAACTTTGGGCCCTTGGAGAACATTTTAAGTGTCCAGCCCTAACACAGACCAAGTTCCCTCTGTGACAGTAGCTCAGTTCTTGCTTTCCATATAGTTAAGTCTGTAGCCAGGGGATGAAACCTCTAGGGCATGGACACAAGTCCCCTCCTTCCACAGCCCAGAATGGCGGCCTCAAAACGGCCTGAGAATGTCCCACCCGATCTCCCTTCCATCAAGCGGCTGTGTCCCTTCCCAGCAGCCCAGAAAGAGGACAGGCCTATGGACTCCAATGGAGGACAGGTAAGTTTCCCAGATGGCAGGGGGAGAGTGCCGGAGAGGGGGCAGGCCAAGGGGCAATTATAACCACCTGTGCCCCCACAGGCTGCCCTACACTTGGAGCCCCTGCACTTCCTGCAGTGTCATAGCAGAAACAACAGCCCTAAGGACCTGGAGACCCAGCTGTGGGCCTGTGCCTTTGAGCCTGCCAGGGAGGAGGGTACATGCTGGGCCTCGGGCAGTGGGAGGCCTGGGTCACAGTGGTGCTCAGTGGCCGCCAGATTGAGAGCTGAGAAATTCAGAAAGGGTGGTTTTAGGGCAGAAGGAAAGGGATGGAGCCGGGCACTGGTGGCACACGCCTTTAATCCCAGCACTCGGGAGGCAGAGGCAGGAGGATCTCTGTGAGTTCAAGGCCAACCTGGGCTACAGAGCAAGTTCCAGGACACCCAAAGGCTCCACAGAGAATCCTTGTCTCAAAAAGAGAAAACAAAAAAAACAAGGGCTGGAGAGACAGTTGACTAAGAGTACTTGCTGGTTTTGTAGAGGACTGAAGTTTGGTTATTAGCATCTACCGTGGGCAGCTCACAATTGCCAGTAACGCCAGCTCCCGGGAATTTAATGCCCTCTTCCGGTCTCTATGGGTACTTGCAGTTATGTGCACATACCCTCACGTGACACGGCACATAACCATGCTTTTTGGGGAGGGGGGTTTTGAGCCAGGGTTTCTCTGTGGCTTTGGAGGCTGTCATGGAACTCGCTGTGTAGACCAGGCTGGTCTCGGAACTCACAGAGATCCGCCTGCCTCTGCCTCCCGAGTGCTGGGATTAAAGGCGTGAGCCACCAATACACAGTGCATTATTTTTTTTTAAGGGTAAAGTACTACAGTGTGTGAGGCCCTAGGTTCTATCCCCTGTACAAATAATAATGTTGCTATTAATAAATGTTGTGGAGCTAGGAAGAGGGGCTTTGGGAAGAGCTTTACAGAGATGTTGATGTGGCTGATACCATAAAACAGGACACGCGGGGGCCACGTCACAGACTGTGGCCACATGTGGTGGAGAGGCTGTTTGCGTGATAGACTGCCAGACAGGCATCGTTCTCCATAAATACAAGGTACCAGGCGAGGTGAGTGCCAGGGCCCTCCTCCTGAACACTGCTTGGTCCTGGGACAAGAGCCCTGAGGTTGGAGGTCCAAGCTAAGCTCTCTGTTTCCTGCGACTTTTATTTTGGTGGGGATGGAACCCCCACTAAGAGTGCTCTGCCTCCGAGCCCTTCCTCCGGCCTCAGCCACCCGGGGCCCTCCTGGGAGCTTTTCTTCGTTGTGCCTCACTGTCCCAGGCTAGCCCTCCAAGCAGACTGCCACTTGTTCCCTGCTCATGGCCATTCCCTCCTTCCCACCCTGGTCAGGAGTTCTTCTCAGTGGCCTGGACAACCCTGACGGTGGTCACCCAGGCCGGCCACAAGAAGCGCTGGAACATGCTGGCGGCTGCGGGCCTGCGGGGCATGGTCCGGCTGCTCCATGTGCGTGCAGGGTTCTGCTGCAGTGCCATCCGAGCCCATAAGAAGGCCATCGCCACCCTCTGCTTCAGTCCCATCCACGAGACCCACCTCTTGAGTAAGACCCTCGCCTCTGAGCTTTCTTAGTGCCGTAGTCTTTCTGCCCTATGGCCTGGGCTCTTCTGGGGTAACAAGGCTCCCAGGATGCTGAGCCCAGATGGCTTTGGTCAGAAGTGAGGTAGCTTCTTGACCAATCAGGATCTCCATTCCAGCATGCTATGCAGCCTTGAAGTTTCCTAGCAACTTGTGCTCCTCTGCTTCTCTGCCTGGGGCCAGGGGAGATAACCCTGTCCCTTGGGTGTGGTAAGCTCAGCAGAGGTGCCACAAAGATGGCTAGGTGCTGTGCACACTGGGTTCAGACACGACTGGGGGTTGTGCCCCGAGTTCTTGTCCTAGCCACAGTCTGCCTGCCCTTCCTGCCTCTGATAAGCTGGTTGAGGGACCCAACTCACACACTCAACCTGCAAGAGGGGCGGGATCTTCTCAGGGCTACCTCTTTCCTCCATCCCCCGCCCCAACACCCCACAGCTGCCTCTTACGACAAACGGATCATCCTCTGGGACATTGGGGTGCCCAACCATGAATACCAGTTCCAGGCTAGGTGAGGCTGTGGGCCAGACTGGAGAGGGGCGGACTGCTAAGGGTGATGTTCGTGGCCCACAGCTCATGGTCTCCCACACCCGTGTTGGCAGCCAGCTACTCATACTCAGCTGCAGCTCCGTCCCCCTGCGCCTCTGTCCTGTCGCCTCCTGCCCTGATGACTTCCTGCTAGCTGGCTGTGAGGGAGGCTGCTGCTGCTGGGATGTGCGGCTAGACCAGCCCCAGAAGCAAAGGTAAGGATGCGGGGCTGGCTCGGGAGCCCTGTCCAGGGACCGAGTCTTCACTTTTTATCACCACACTGCAAACTACTGCCTGAGCCCTCGTCCTGTCTCCTAGCAGTGGGACACCCCTGCGCTAGCATGTGTCCACATCTGTGAGGAAGGGGCAATGAGGTGTAGCCCAGAGCTCGTGGCAGGTGGAGGTAGGGTGTACCCAGGGAAGCAGCTTTGATGACCTTTTGTGGCTCTTCTGCCCATGTAGAAAGCCCCGAGACTGCTCAGCATGGGGTTCCTGCCCTCAGTGGGCATGGCAGTCTGTGCATGACCAAGGATAATGTCTTCTGCAGGGTGTGTGAAGTGGAATTAATCTTCTCTGAGGATTCCGAGACATCAGGACAGAGAGTGGACGGGCTGGCATTTGTGAGTGACGACGTTGTGGGTGAGTAAGCCCAGCTGGGACAGCCTGGGCTGGACTTAGCTCTAAGGGTACTGAGGCAACTATTGTGGATCAGGGAGGTTGCGGCGACAGCCAGCCTGGGCTCATCTCTCTCCCTGCAGCCTCCAAAGGGAGTGGACAAGGCATTATCTACCTGTGGAGCTGGAGCCAGACGTGGGCAGGCCGGGACAGCCGGTCAGTGTTGCCCGTGGTCATCCTGGCCCGGCTGCAGTGGTCACCCACCAACCTGGCTTACTTCTCACTCAGCACCTGTCCTGGTGAGCCCGCCCACCCCATCGCGGCCCCTTCCCACCCCCACCCTGGCCCTGTCTTAGACCCCATCTGTCCTGGCAGACAAAAACCTCGTGCTGTGTGGGGATGAAGAAGGCAGCGTGTGGATCTATGATGTTGAGCACCTACTAAAGCGGCCACCTGCACTGGCAAAGGCTCCGCAGGCCCCGACACAGGTACTGCTGCCGCATGGGCCCCTGTGGCTCCGTCCTGAGGTCCTTGGGCTCTTTCTTTGGTAGGCAGTAGCCTACCACAATCTTTTTCCCCCCTCAGATCCTGAAGTGGCCTCAGCCAGTAGCACAGGGCCAACCAGTGACCAAGACCATGGTGAACACAGTTGTGGCCAATGCAGCTTTCACCTACCTGTCTGCTCTGACGGACTCCAACATCGTGTCCATCTGGAGGAGTTGCTAGTGTGCACAGGCAGGGTACCGAGGACTCGGCTCAGTAGCTTGGGGCTAGTGGTAGAGATCTGTACCAGCGAGTGTTTTTATTAAATTCTCTCTTGTGGACTAAGGCCAGCGGAAGCTGAGGCTTGTTAACAGAGCAGAGGACCTGCCTCCCCAGCAGCCCCAGGTTCTGCCTTAGTCTGTGGTTAGGGCGTCTTATGTGACAGGTCACCTGCCGTGCACAAGTGACCCACACGCTGATGTCCTGCTGCATATGGGTCTTTTCCTGCTATACTTTATTAGGAAAATATCAGTCTATGTACAGAGCAGGGCAACATTGAGCTACAGAGAGTGGAGGGCGCTGTGGTCATCGAGGATGCTCAAAGGGCCCCAAAGCTGTATGCACCAGCATTTTGCCCATTAAGCAATGCTCCTTTTAGCTGCTACTCGATTCCTTCTTGCTTGTCCTTGATGGCCACCTGAAGAGGAAGGACAACGGAATGACCCCAGTATCCCCAGCTTGTGTGGCACCAAGCACCTGGCACTTGGGTCCTTCCAGATATAGTACTCCAGAGAATATCACAAAGGCAGAGCAGTCCCCAAAGGCTCCAGGGTGCCCCGCAGGCTCCACCTACCCTGCTCCAAGGCACCTGCTTGCTGAGGGCTGGGGTTGGAGCCAAGTGGGACATGAAAAGGTGTGGCTTATCTTACGCTGAGGACCCCTGACTAATCAATGACTCCCACTCTGAGATGAAGACTCCCTCAGGAGTCTCAGAGGCCTCATGAGCCAGAAGAGCCAGCGGCAAAGGGGAGGTTTTGGTGCTGTGGATGGTACCCTAAGGCTTGATTGTGCTAGAAGAGCCAGCGGCAAAGGGGAGGTTTTGAGGCTGTGGATGGTACCCTAAGGCTTGATTGTGCTAGAAGAGCCAGCGGCAAAGGGGAGGTTTTGATGCTGTGGATGGTACCCTAAGGCTTGATTGTGCTAGAAGAGCCAGCGGCAAAGGGGAGGTTTTGATGCTGTGGATGGTACCCTAAGGCTTGATTGTGCTAGAAGAGCCAGCGGCAAAGGGGAGGTTTTGATGCTGTGGATGGTACCCTAAGGTTTGATTGTGCTAGGCAAACACTGTAGCACTAAGTTATCCCCAGACTCTCAGTGGGGGATGCTAGTTGTGCCAGGGGCCAGCTCTGCCACTCAATCAACACAACTCACAGGGTTACCCAGCTGCTTACCCGGAATCGTTCCTCCAGCAGGGAGAGCTCACTGATGAGGTCTGTGATGGCATTGGTGAAGGCCTCCTGAGGACTGTAGTCTGGGGTGGTCTGCACACGAATGATGATCTTGTGCTCCAACGGGTGAGGGACTTTGTAGCCCGCAAACAGTACCTGTGGGTCCTTCAACAGCTGGCTGAGAAACAGGTGCACTGTGAGGGAGGCCAGGCCTGGCAGCCCGACTGCTCAGGAGGACTAAGTTCAAAGTCAGCCCACCCAACTTAGTGAGGCTCTCTTAAAAGAAAGCTTAGAGTGTCTGCCTGCATGCATGAGGCTAGAGGCTCCCTCCCAGCACTAGGGGGGGGAAACCAAGTTAAGGGCCGAAGACCATATGGGAAGGAACCCTACTGACTACAAGACCAAGGACCCTGGCTGGGGTGGCATCTTTCATCATAGTTGAAAAGCTATGGCAGTGGGAGGGAGGAGCAGCAGGGCCAGGCTCTGACAGCCCCCAGGTGGCTGCTCATGCACACAGCCCCTACCCACAAAGCCTAAGGTCGTGGGCTCTAACTGGCCCCTGCTTTACGTAACTGAAGAGTTGCAGGATGGGTGATTGGAGGGATGGCTGCTTTTCCAGAGGACCTTGATTCAATTCCCAGCACCCACTTGGTGGCTCACAACTCCAGTCCTGGGAGTCTCCAACACCCCCTGATGGCATGCAAAGGCCCCACATTTGCAGAAAGACACGCCCATACAGGAGAAACAGCACAGTGGCGGAGCTCTCGAGGAGGTTCTGTGTTTGGTTCCCAGAGCCTCCATCAGGCACTTCACAACTCCAGTTCCAGGGATCCGACACCCTCTTCTAGCCTACTACACTCACGATATATTTTGTGGTTTTCCCAGATAGGGTTTCTGCAACAGTCCTTGCTGTCCTGAAACTCAATATAGGCCAAGCTGGCCTGGAACTTAGAGATCTGCCCGCTGGGCTACAGGCGGGCACCACCCTCACCCAGCACACACTGCAGCTTGGGCTGGAGAACTGGGTGTGTTGAGAGGTTCCCAACACCCATGTCAGGTGGGAAGCATCCGTCATACCAGCTCTGAAGGCACTGGCAATCACCCAGCAACAAAAACTTGGTAATCTGCTGACCCTTTTTGCTTTGTCTTTTTGAGATGCTGACTAACTGCCTCAGCCTCCCAAGTGCTGGGATTATAGGTGTGTACCACTACACCATCGTGTCTTAGCATCTTGATGCCCACTAAAATGAAAACCTGCTTTGCTGGAGTCCCCCCCAAAAGACCAAGAGGCAACTGCAGACTCTTTTTTTTTGGTTTTTTTGAGACAGGGTTTCTCTGTATTGTTTTGGAGACTGTCATGGAACTAGCTCTGTAAACCAGGCTGGCCTCGAACTCACAGAGATCCGCCTGCCTCTGCCTCCCAAGTGCTGGGATTAAAGGCGTGCGCCACCAACGCCCGGCAACTGCAGACTCTTATACTACATGAATACGCCAACAGGAAGCTGATGTGTTATACAGTCAGGATCTTGGCAATTGTGGCATAGGTGAGGATCAGGAGTCCCCGTCATTATGTAGTGAGTCAGTCTGAGAACCGCCTACACTATGTGAAACCCTATGTCAAAAAGCCAACAAAATAAGCCACGTGTGAACAGACCTGTCAGTGCCAGGTTAGATCACCCGCATCACAGCAAGCTGCGGAGACAGAAGGAACCGTCCCAGGGCATGTGCTCAGCCTACAGAGCTCTGGCGACACCCGGGGCCTCTGGCCTGGGACTTACGATTTGATGATGTTCCCCAGCGTGTGGTCTTCTTTGTTGATGGTGAACAGGCAAGCATTGGGCACCTTTGTGTCCTTGTTAATGGTGATTCTGCAGAGACAGGAAACGCTGTGGGTGATCACCTAGCCCACATCCAGCCTGTGTGACTCTCAAATCACTATCCCTGGGAGTCAGCGCCCCCTTTGTGACCCAACACCCTTGAAACTACAGTTGGGCTGTTCCCACTACCCCAGAAACAAACACGCAGCTCTTCCCCTCATACAAATTGGTTGTCTTCAACTAACTCTTGACTAAATTCTTTCCTAAAAGACAAACAGCTGGCAATGGTGGCACACACCTTTAACTCCAGCACTTGGGGAGCAGAGGCAGATGGATCTATGGCTAACCTCATCTACAGAGCAAGTTCCAGGACAGCCAGGGCCACACAGAGAAACCCTATCTCGGAGAGAGGAGGGGCGAGAGGGAGAGAGATCGAGCGCAAAAGAAAAATACAAAAAAACAAACAAAAAAAGCCAGAGTATAGCTTAGCGATAGATAGAGCAGTGACCTAGCATGGGCCAGGGTCTGGGTCCAGTCAACAGTATGACCAAAAAAAAGACAGACAAAAGAAAAAACAAAAACAAGGAACCTTCTCTACTCCATGATGGCACCTTGTCTATACACCAAGGACCCTAACCCACACAGGATTGCTCCTTTTTTCTTTTTCAGAACAGGGTTTCTCTGTGTAGCCCTGGCTGTCCCGGAACTCTCTCTGTAGACCAGGGTGGCCTTGAACTCAGAGATCCACCTGCCTCTGCCTCCTGAATGCTTCATTAAACCGTCGAGTCCTGAAATTCTTTTTAGTGTGGAAGCCACGAACCCGAGTTTGGCCGAGACCCCTGAAAATCTAGAGGAAATCCTCAGGCTGCGGGGGGGGGGGGGGGTAGCTGTGTCTCCGTCCCTTCACCGCTGCCATCGTTATCCTCCTGCCTCAGTCGCCAAGTGCTGGATCGCAGGCGTTCGCCACCGTATGCAGTGGGGTGTGAGCTCCAAAGCCAACACCGCGTGCACGGAGGATGGTGTTGCAGACCAGCGTAAAGGGAAAGGGCTCTGGAGCCTGACATTCTGGGTTCCAGCACAGTCCCGGGCGGACCCCACGTGCCCGAGCCTCGGTTTTCCCACTGAGACATGGGTGTACTCGCCCGGGCCGCGCACCGCAGCCTGAGGCTCGGCAGACGCGCAGACGCGCACCGAGCCTGGGCAGGAGCAGCGCGCCCGCCGGCGCTAACGGCTGACGGCCAGCCTCCGCGACCCACGTCCCCGTCTCTGCCGGCCTCCACTCACTTCTTCTCGCCCTCGAAGAGCAAGAACGACTCGAAGGCCGGAGGAGCGTTCATCCTAGAGACGCCTTCAGGCTCCTAGACTGCAACCCGCAGCAGCCGGTACAATACTGAGCTCCGAATAGCGACCACTTCCGGGTCACGCAGACGCAGCCAATCAAAGTAAGCCCCTGGCCCCGCGCCCCCTGGTGGACGGGAGGACTTCCGCAGGCACACGCAGGCGAGGCGGAGTGAGGTTAGAAATCCTGTCCCAGCCGGGTGGGAGCACTCTAACCCAGCCTTCCGGAGCGAGGCCAGCCTGGTCTACAGAGCGAGTGCCAGGGCAGCCTCCAAAGCTACACAGAGAATCCCTGTCTTGAAAACAAGCAAAAAGAAAAAACCCAAAAAAAAAACAAAAAGAAAAAAAAAGTGGCTTTGACCAGCGCCGGTTCCAGCGGGGGGGGGGGCTGGACCACCTGCACTGAGCTGCAATCCGAGCTGTGTGTGTAAAGTCGCCTGTACGGTCCGCTGCTGCAGGACCCCAGATGGACGGGGAACGGGGAGGTGTATAAAAGCAGTGGGTGCCTGCGGATCCTCTCTTGGGCACACAGGTAACCAAAAACAATGACAGCCTGGCACCTCTCCATATGTGTGTCTGTGCGGCACATATATGCAGGTGCCTTCGGAGACCGGAAGAGGGTTGGATCCCTTGGAGCTGCAGTTACAGGTGGGCGTGAAGCACCCAAAGCAGGTGCTGGGAACCGAACTCTAGTCCTCTGGAAGAGTAGTCAGGCTTTAACTGCTGAGCTGTTTCTCCAGCCTCCACGACGGTTCATTTTGTCAACCTGATGAGACTTAGTGTCACTGTGGAAACAGACCTCTCGTGGGGCCAGCAAGACAGGGCTAGGGTGAAGGGAACATCACCAAGCCTGACTCCCTGAGTTCAGTCCCCAGGACCATGTGGTAGAAGTTGAGAACCAACTTCTCTGACTCCCTGTGTACACAGTGTATAATTCAAAAACAAAAAACCTTCTGAGTGTGTCCTCGAGATTCTAGACAGGCTTAACTGAAGAAAGAAGGACTCACCATTAACGTGCATGGCGCCATCTTAGAGGCTAAGCCCTCAGACTGAATAAAGAAAGAAAGAAAATCATCTTCCTGGATGCAGGTGGCGCTCCTGTTGCTATGACATCCCACCACCACGAACGGTAGGTACCCTTCCTAAGGGTGCTTTCTGTCGGGTCTGAAGACACAGCAACAGAACAGTAACTAACACAGGCTCAGTCTCCCAGTCTTTGGAGTAACAGGTGTGAGCCGTTACTCCAAAGGCTCACTCCTGTGAGGAGGAGGAGGAGGAGAGAGAAGCAGGAAGTCATCCAAGGTTCTCCAGTCAGAGTCCAAAGCTTGTCGTCACCTTCAGTGCTAGAACAGATTGCCCCATGAGGAGGAGTAGTTATCTCATGGGAAGGAGACTGACTCTTCAAACCAGACCTGAGACAATGAGAAATCAGACCACGTCTTGACCGGTAGGTATCACCTAATTATTGTTTGTGTTGGTTGAACCGTTTATGATGCAGGGTCGTATGTTTGCCAGGCAAGTGTCCTACCGCACCGCCAGCCCGGGTGCGACTCTGAGCATATGCTTTGAATTTAAGTGTGGCGGCTCAGACCTGTAAAGTCCGCACTGTGGGGATGGAGTCAGGAGGACCAGAGGTTCACGACCACCCTCAGGTGGACGTCGAGTTTGAGGCCAGCCTGGACCACATGAGACCTGTCTCAGAAATAAAGGGGCTAGAGATGGGGCTCTATTGCAAGAGTGCTCGCTGAGCCCTAGGTTTAATGCCCAGGTCTTCACAAACTCACACCCGTAATCGTAATCCCAGCACTTGGAGGTGGACGCAGGAAGATCAGGAGTTCAAGGTCATCCTTGGCTATATAACCAGTTTGAGGCTATCCTGGCCATATGACAAATCCTGTATTAACTCTTCCGAAAAAAAGTATGAATAGCACACAGCTTGAATTGGGAGCTGAATACCCTCTATTCTTCCCTAGGTGGCAAGAGCAGAATGCAGCCAGGGGACGCTGATGTGGAGAGGAGTTTCATTTAGGGACATCCTAGGGGGAAGACATTGGTTGAGTCTGTCCAGACCAGTGGTTCTAAACCACCTTCCCAGGTGCTGTGACCCTTTAACACAGTCCCTCATGCTGCCGTGACCCCCAACCATCAAATTATTTTCATTGCTATTTCATAACTGTAATTTTCTATTATGACTCCTAATGTGTTGGATCCCAGCCCCCTCTGATTTCTGTGCATTGTTTGTCAGCTGATAGTCACAGATGCATCCTGCTCTCTAGTCCTGGCCTACAGCCGCTGCCTTGCCCACCTGACATCAACATCTAGCACGAGGAGATCACAAGCTCTTACACCTGGGGTTTCTCCACTGTGCTGTAAGTCTGCATATAAGCCTGCTCTCTCCTCCCTCCTCCCCTCTCTCTCTGAACTTGCAATAAAGGCGGCAGACACATTCTCTTAGCACAAACGGCTGGACGCCCTGTCTTTCATTTCCCAGGTACCACAGTAAATATCTGATATTTCTGATGGTCTTAGGGATCCCTGTGAAGGTGTCATTCAACCCCTAAAAGGGTCTCCACCCATAGTTTGAGAACTGCTAGTCTAGGTGAATACCTCCTAGGCTTCTTTCTTCAAAAGCGTGAAGGCCCTGCCCATGCGACACCTGAGATCCAGCCATGGAAAGACCTGGGTGTCACGAGGAGAGGAAGTGACAGGAGGGCCACCCACTCACATCCCAGTAGCCCCATTCCCAATCTGACGCCCCATAATCACAGCCCCACACCCCTCTCCAACGCTGAGCAGGGTCATGGGTAATTTGCTCCCCCCACCATAAAGATGGAAAGGGACATGGTAGCCCCGCCCTGCTGTGCAGTCTGGAAGGACGTCCCAGCACAGGGGCTCTGTGCGGTGGCTGCTCCGAGCTTACAGAATGCAGGAGTGTGGAGAGCAGTTCTGGGACTAAATGTAATAGGGAACACAAAACAAGGGAAGGACGGACTGCAGAGAGGCCATGCTGGTGGCCCCAGTCCATGGTCAAACCCCCAGCCCCATCGAGGGTCGCCTGGATTCACCACAGGTTTATTAATGACAGCAGAGCACCATGACACCCGGCACGGAGGGTAAGGCAGCGGCAGGGCTGACGTGAGGGCCAGGAGGGAGGCAGTGCATGGTGGACAACCTGGGTCTCCAGGTGCAAGCTTCCTAGGGTTGGGTCTGTCCTGGGTGAAGAACCTGGGCTGCGGGACGACATGAGCACTTGGGTCTCCCAGAGAAGCAGGTGCTGCCATTGTCCCTCAGACACGGAGAAGACCATGGCCCTCCCCAGAAGAGGTGACTGTGACGCCGTGTCAGGGATCTCCAAACGCCTGTCAGGGGTCCGGTGTACACCTCACGTCTGGAGCTCCAGCAGGTGATGGGGCTCTCTGGGCGGTGGGCCAGCCAGGCTGGAGCTGTGGGCTTCTTGGAGGTCTTGCAGCACAAGAAGCAACTGGGCCAGGGAGTCCTCTGGAGCTAGATGCAGGGACATCCAGGGAGGGGCTTCAACGGCTGATAGCCTCCGCCCATGTGTCCCCTGGAGGCAGCTGAGGCCACCAAACTCGAGTCGCAGATAGGAGGGACCTACCTCCACCACTGCCTGTGGGTGAGACGTCGGCTGCTCTTTCCCCACTCAGTAGCCGGTGCTTCTCCCTGCAGAGGAAGGCGGAGTGAGGGCCAGCAGCCACACTTACCTGCTGGGAAGGCTAGAGACGACACGTGTGCTCCCTGACCTGGAGGTGGCGCTCGGGATCCAGACAGATGCTTTCGGTCCACGCTTCCCCTTCCAGCCGTCATCCCACCGCTCAAACACCAGAGTCCCCACTCCCCCCACTTTCAACGCTGCTCTCACCATACCGCCAAGCCTGACCTTGAAATTGCCATCCTCCTGCCTCAGCCTCCAGGTGTGAGAACCATGCCTGGCCAGAAGGCCAGTGGCAAACCAAGCCAAACTATGTCCCTCTGGCGTTGCAGGGCCAGCAGGTGGCGGGAGGAATCTAGGGGTGGGGCTGCAAAGGCAGAGCCCAGTCTTGTCATTCGGCGCCACACTCCCTTGTCTTTTTGATGTTTCTGTTTTTGCATTGTCCTTGTTTCTTGTGGGTTTCGCTTTTGATACGGCGTCTCACTATGCAGACCATACTTGAATGCCCTCTACCTGTCGAGTTCTGGGATGAAAAGCGTGTGCCACCCACCACATGTAGCTGTTCTGGTTTCTGAAACAGAGTCTTATGAGGCCCAGGCTGGTCTTAAACTCACTATAAACAGAGAAAAACCCTGAACTTCTCACCCTCCTGCCTCCACCTCTGGGATTACAGGCATGAGCACCGTACCCAGCTCAGGACTTTTTTGTTTGTTTCGTTTTGTTTTTGAGACAGGTTTCTCTGTGTAGCTCTGGCTGTCTTGGAACTGGCTCTGTAGAACCAGGCTGACCTTAAACTTGAAGATCCACACGTCTTTGCCTCCCAAATGCTGGGATTAGAGGCGAGCATCGTCATGCCCAGTTTTTTGTTTTGTTTTTTTGTTTTTTCGAGATAGGGTTTCTCCGTGTAGCTTTGGAGCCTGTCCTGGCACTCGCTCTGTAGACCAGGCTGGCCTTGAAGTCACAGAGTGCTGGGATTAAAAGTGTGCTCTGCCCGGCCCATGCCCAGTTTTTTATAAAATCTCAAAAACTTAGCTGGGCGTTGGTGGCACATGCCTTTAATCCCAGCACTCGGGAGGCAGAGGCAGGCGGATCTTTGTGAGTTCAAGACCAGCCTGGTCTACAAGAGTTAGTTCCAGGACAGCTTCCAAAGCCACAGAGAAACCCTGTCTCGAAAAAAAAAACAACAAAAAAAATCTCAAAAACTTAAAAGAAAAATAAAATATGCGTATAGTGTCTGCGTGCACGTGCATGTTTGTGTGCCACACGCATGCTGGGAACCCTCAGAGGCCAGGAGAGAGTGTCATATCCTCCTGGGACTGGAGTCACAGACAGCTGAGAGTCATCGGGTCGCTACACTTAACTGGTGAGCCTTCTCCCCTGCCCAGGTTTCTTTTTTTTTTTTTTTTTTTTTTTTTTTTTTGGTTTTTCGAGACAGGGTTTCTCTGTGGCTTTGGAGGCTGTCCTGGAACTAGCTCTTATAGACCAGGCTGGTCTCGAACTCACAAAGATCCGCCGTCTCTGCCTCCCGAGTGCTGGGATTAAAGGTGTGCGCCACCAACGCCCGGCCCCTGCCCAGGTTTCTGAGGGAGTACCAAGAAGGATCTTTTAATTCCCTGCCTGGAGTCCAGAATGCTGTATGCTGTAGACAAGCAGCCCCTTTTGTGTGGCCCAGGAAAAGGCTCTAGGAAGCCAAGATGGCCTCACTGTCCCACCCAGGGGTTCAGAGCTGAGGGGGCCCACACTTCCTGTTTTGCTAAGTTGTTTTAGAAAGCATCATGGAGCCTGGCCATGGTGGCACACACCCAGAAGCAGGTGGATCTCTGAGTTCGAGGCCATCCTGGTCTATAGAGCAAGTGCCAGGACAGCCAGGGCTACACAGAGAAAGCCTGTCTTGGAAAACAAAAACAAAAGCCTACATAGCATGCAGCCTGGCATTTTCTAAGGTTCAGAGTCAAGTCTAAAAACCTTAGTTAGCAAGCTACCCCAGGAACTCACAGACTAGCTGAAGGCAAGGCCAATGTTCTGATGCCATCTCCAGAAGGCTAGGCAAATGGGGAGATGGGGTCAAATTAGCACAGGAAGCAGTTGTGGCCATGACCCCTAGCACCCTAATAGGAGATGACTCATGATGCAGAGGGGCAGCGGTGGATGCCTGGCCTCATCAAGAAAGTAATGCAGGGCCAGCAAGACAGCTCAGCAAGTAGAGGATGCTGCCGAACATTACTTTAACTGTGTAAACGTGTGTTACCTTGTTTACGCTGTGGAACATTACTTTAACTGTGTAAAGGTGTGTTACATTATTTATGCTGCCGAACATTACTTTAACTGTGTAAACGTGTGTTACCTTGTTTACGCTGTGGAACATTACTTTAACCATGTAAAGGTGTGTTACAATGTTTATGATGTGGAACATTACTTTAACTGTGTAAAGGTGTGTTACATTTGTCAATGCTGCATTTGTTTATGTAAGGATGTGTGTTTGACTATGTAAAGATGTGTTGCATCTGTTTCACCTTGTCTGCCTAAGGCACCTGATTGGTCTAATAAAGAGCTGAATAGCCAATAGCTAGGCAGAGAAAGGATGAGTAGGAAGAGAAATCTAGGCTGGGAAAGAAAAGGGAAGAATGAGAGAAAGAGGAGAGAACAAGGGACATGCCCAGGACAAGATGCCGGCCAGACAAAGAGAAGCAGTAAAAGTAAGATATACAGAAGTAAGAGAGTAACAAGCCCCAGGGCAAAAGGGGCATAAAGAGAAACATTAACTTAAGTCAAAAGAGCTAACCAGAAACATGCCTGAGCTAGGCAGAGCATTCAAAACTAAAGGTGGCCCAGAAGAAAAGTCTGGTACAAAAGGAGCTTGCTGCACAAGCCCAAGGACCCAAGTTCAATCCGAGACCCACATAAAAGTGGAAGGCGACCCAGCACTCGGGAGGCAGAGGCAGGCGGATCTCTGTGAGTTCGAGGCCAGCCTGGTCTACAGAGTGAGTTCCAGGACAGCCTCCAAAGCCACAGAGAAACCCTGTCTCGAGAAACAAAAAACAAACAAACAAAAAAAAGTGAAGGTGAGAACTGACTCCACAAAGCTGTCCTAACTCCCTGTGTATGATGCAGAAGCTGGACACGTTATCACACAGGCCTGTCACTTCAGCTACTTGAGAGACCCAGACAGAGGATCACAAGTTCAAATCGATCCTGAGGACCAGGGAGATAGCTCTGTAAATGTTTGCCTTGCAAGCATAAGGACCCTAGTCTGATCCATGTAAAAGAGTCAGGCATGGTAGTGCATGCTTGTAATTCCAGAGCTGGGGAGGCAATTTTGTCTAAGCAGCGAGCTCAAGACTATTCAGAGAAGCTTCACAACATTACAAACACAGGAGGGGAGAAGTCTCGGTGGTTATAAGCATGAACTTCTCTTACAGAGGGCCGGAGTTGTATTCCCAGCACCCTTATCAGGTGAATCACCTGAAACTCCAGCTCCAGGGGATCTGGTGCCCTCTTCTGGCCTCCACAGGAATCTGCACACATGTGCACATACAGAGATATACACACATGAAAATGAAAGTAAATATTTTTTGTTTGTTTGAGACAAGTTCTCACTGTGAAGCCTTGGCTGGCCTAGAATTTGATATGAAGACCAAGTTGACCTCCAACTCATAGAAATCCTCCTGCCTCTGCCTCCCGAGTGCTGGGATTAAAGGCATGCATGCCATACTTGGATAAAAGTATATCTTAAAAGAAATTAAGCCGGGTGGTGGTGGCGCACGCCTTTAATCCCAGCACTCGGGAGGCAGAGGCAGGCGGATCTCTGTGAGTTCGAGGCCAGGCTGGACTGACAGCCTCCAAAACAATACAGAGATATCCTGTCTCGTAAAACCAAAAAAAACAAAAAACAAAAAACAAAAAAAAGAATGCACACACAACAAAAGAAATTAAAATTAAAAGAAAAGAACATGAGAAAGTGAACAGCACTTGAGGAATGACGCCCAAGGTTGTCATTTGACCCCTGCACACATGTGCCCGCCCACCCACACAGAACAAGAAACACAGACTCAAAGGCAAGCAAAGCAAAAGAGAAACAAAGCACAGGCAGTTACTTAGCGCTCCTCCGGTTGCAGCCCTCCAGCCCCCACACTCCCTGGACTAAGCAGCTTCCCCTCCACGAGCCTCCTCACCGAAGTGCAGCCTCCACACCTAGCAGGTGCCTGTAGATGAGCTGAGCTTCGAGGTCATGGTCCAGTGGGTCACTCCATTCCTGCAGGGTCACTCGAGAGTGGGTCTTGTCACAGCCCAGATCTGGGGGCACAGACAGGGCAGAGTTACAATGGAAATTCTATACCCATCTTCCTGATAGCACAGAAAGGGGAACGTTGAGGCTGGAAGGGAGAGAAGGATTGATGAAGGGGTCCCTAGGGGTGGTAAAATGGCTCTTGTCCTGCCTGTCACTAGCCACTTTTAAGGTTGTGGCAGACCATCCTGGCTTCAACAGCTGGGCCACGGGGTATATACTACGGGATGTGAGTGTTTTGTGGCATTCAGGTCAGGCGAGCTGGTGGCTTTCTGGAAGGTCTGTCTGGAGGCTGCCCTGGACTCCATGGTCATGGTAGGGTGGGGCTGAGCTGCTTCCTGCATTCGGATGAACTGACCCTGCTCCTTGCCGGCCGCCACCTTTGCCCGCTCACCTGCGACTGTAAGCCTCACTTGTAGACGGTGGGCGGGACTTAGCTGTTGCCTAGAACCCCCAAGTGAAGGACTGGGGTGTGGCTCGGTGGTAGAATGCTTACCTAGCACGTATGTGGGCCTGAGTTCCGTGTACACACGCACACACACACGCACACACACACACACCCCATATGCCTGCCACACACTCTAAGTCACAGGTCCTTCCCTGTAAAGTGGGGTCTCTGGCTGTCCCAGGAACCACAGGGAGCCCCACATCAGCTTTAATGAGGGAACGGCTTCGATGGCCACAAGAGCCATCAATCCAAAGCCAGGGTGTAGCCAGTGTGTTCGTGTGGACGGCTTTTCCTATGCCAGGTCTGGGGCCTGAGGCCTGGAGGACAGAAGGTCCAAGTTTTCCACTAACTCTGTGAGTGGGGAAGGTCTTGAAATTTCCAGAGTTGATGGACATCATGTCACATGACTATACCACAACTCAGGAGGGCTGGAGAGACAATGGCTCCACAGTTAAGAGCTGCTCTTCCAGAGAAATCAGGGTTTGATTCCCAACACCACATGGTGGCTCACAACCATCTATAACTCCAGTTCTAGGAGACCCAACAAACTCTCCAGATCTCTTACAGGGACGTTCTCACACAGGTGGCACTCACACACACACACACACACACACACACACACACACACACACACATTCTTAATTAAAAACTATGAATCTCTTCAGGCCTTGTCAGAATAGCCAGTAAACTCACTCCCATGCACCACACCTTTTGCATAACACTTACCAGACTACCCGGCCACAGATCTTTCTGTGTCCAAAGCATCTTCAGGGCTGGCTTCCCTCCCCTGGGCAGCTTTGCCTTAGGAAGGCATGTGACTTTCCAGCCAGGCTGGCACAGAGAGTCTCGAGAAACCCTCTCCCAGCCCACGACCTGCGTGGGACCAGCCCTCCCACCTGTCTTGTCCTTCTGGTGGCAGCAGCTCCATCTGTCCCCGCGGAAGATGCCAGGGTGGTACGATCCCAGGAGGCCAGGGTTGTTGGTGCTCACTTTACGCAGCGCAGACAGCCACTGGTTCAGCTCATTCACACACTGCAGGGACAGGCTGGGCAGTCTGCCGTCTTCCCCACAGGCAGCCGCCTCCCTAGCCCCTTACAGGCACCCTACTGGGTGCATACAAACTAGAGCAGTCTGGGACTAGGAAGCCACAGAGGGCCTGCCTCGACAGATTAACCTGCGGGGAGCCTGGGGGGAGCCTGCAACTGATGGCTGATGTGGGACTCTAGGCGGGTGATCTATTGCTCAAACCATTCCCCCAGAATATCACTTGACATTAATATTAACTCTTGGGAACCAAGGCGTGGAGTTCCAGGTTTGCCTGACCTACAGTGAAAGTCTTTTTTTTTTTTTTTTTTTTTTTTTTTTTTTTGGTTTTTCGAGACAGGGTTCCTCTGTGGCTTTGGAGGCTGTCCTGGAACTAGCTCTTGTAGACCAGGCTGGCCTCGAACTCACAGAGATCTGCCTGCCTCCGCCTCCCGAGTGCTGGGATTAAAGGCATGCGCCACCAACGCCCAGCTACAGTGAAAGTCTTAAATTAAAGAAAAAAAAATCCAGGCCAGAAAAGGAAAAAGCAAGCTCTGAGCCACAGGGACCTGGCTATCTATCCATGTAGCCGCACACATACATATGGAGGCCCTTAGGCAAACATGGACTGTGCATATGGGCATGAGACCCCAGGACAACATACACACAGCCTGTAGTACCTAACGTGGCCGTCAGGGGGAGCCGGGGACTTAGTCCGCATCCCATACCCATCCCCTCCCCAGAGCGCCCTCCACAGGCTGCACCTTGCACTGCAGGTAGACAGTCTGCGCCCGGCCGACATCATCTGCATAGATGACCTGCATGACGTGGGAGCTGCCAAAGCTCTTCTCCTCCACCTTCTCCGCGGCCCGGATGCTGGCGAGCTTGATGAAGGCGCTTTTCTGGGGCAGCCAGAAAAAGGAGGCTGGGGGGACCCGACGAGGCAAGGGTATTCTACTTTCTTCTCTGCCCTCCACACCCCCTTCAGCAGGAGACATTAGGGCTTACAGGGAGGGATCTGAACAACTCTGGATGGCTCCCGTCCCCAGGATCCCAGCTAGAGCCAAGGCCCTGGGAGGAGGGCACCGGGAGTGGAAGGGGTGCTGCGAGAAGGGTGGAGACACCCCCTTCTCTGGGTGACAAAGGCCCATGTGTGGAGGTTAAACCCGCTTTTAGGGTTTGCATCCACGAAGACTGCAGAGTGGGCGGTATGCTAAAATACCCTACCTGTAAGCACTCTGTCCAATGAACTACAGGCCTGCTTGCTTGCTTTAAGACAGGGTCCTGTAGCCCGGGCTTGCTTATCTTGAACTCCCGATCTCCCTGCATCCACCCCCACTTGCTGGGATTCCGACCATGCACCATCCTAGACAGCCTCCCTCCTCTCCCACCTTGGAGCTGGATGTCTTGGCGAAACTGAGGGCTTCAGTGGTGAGGGAGAAGTAGAGTTTCTTGAACGAGGAGGACGCAAGGGGACCTTTGCCTTTGGTCCTGTGGATGAACAGCGGCCCCTCCTTCACAGGCGGCGCCTGCGAGTTGCACGCTCGCTGCAGATCCAGCTCTGAAAGCAGGCAAAACAGTGGGAGGGGCGAGGAGCGGGCTAGAGGAGGAGTTAAGGCCGACTGGACTGGGGGAGGAGCAAAGGCAAACCGGAGGCTGTGACTAGCAGTGGGCGGGGCCATGGGTAAAAGGGCTGGGGATAAAACTCCATTCAGGGAGGGTTGGCGTGGCTTGGTCAAGGCCCTGGGTTCTATGCCCAGCACCACCCGGCTTGGGAGGTAGAGGCAAGAGGATCATAGGTTTAAGGTTACCGTTGGCAGTGGATTTGAGGCCAACAAAAAGGCGGGGTGGGAAGAGAGAACGGCTCAGTTCCGGAGGGCAGGGCAGTGGGCGGGGTCGAGTGAGAAGCTTGCACACAGGCCGGGCGCGCAGTACTGGGGTAAGTCCTTGCCTTCCTTCTCTTCTACGTCCACGAGCTTGGTGATGAAGTCCTTCAGCTGCACGACACCCCGGCGCACAGTGGGCTGCAGTGGTTCCATCCACGCCTCTTTGGCCCTGGAGATCGGCGCGTCCATATTGCTTACATTCTGCACCACCTAGGGGTGACGGCAAGAACGACAGAGCTTTGGGGAGACAGACACAACGGCTCGTCCAACCCAGCGGCGGAAGTGGAAGCCGAGGAGGCAGGGGCCTTACCACGGTCCTGTGGGGGAATGATGGGTGCATGGGCCACGGCATTTTGAGACCTTGGGCACCTGGTACCTTGGAACCAACCTTTCTGCTTTCGTCTGGAAATCTGCTTAGCTTTATTATCATTGTGCGTTTGTTGGGAGTGCCTGGGCATGTGGGGAGTCAGCTGATGACTCGTGGAAGTTGCTTCTCTGCCTCCATCATGTGAGCTCCAAGGACGGAACTCAGGACATCAGGCCTGCAGCGAGCTCCTTACCTACTGAGCCATCATGCTGGCCCTGCAAGTTCCATACTAATTTCAGAACGCTGTGGTGCGGGCAGACATGCAGGCCCGCCCGGGGATAAAACCTGCGTTGGAAGATACCGCTCCTCTAGGTAGGCTCTCCTTACGTATGGATGGGGCTCTCAAGAGGTGGTCATGGGAAAGCTTTGTCAACTGTGAACTCCAGTGCCACCGGGTACCGGCCAACTGGTGCGGCACGGGCTTTGCAACCGAACTGGCCTTCCCGCCCCAGTGTGCCCGTCCACACCTTGGCCAGTAGAAGCAGCGTGCGGCTGGTGCGGGCATCTGCATGCCGCTCTCGCAGATGGAAGAGCTTGGGCGACATGATGGCAGGAGAGAAGAAGCGCAGGCACAGGAAGCTAGTGACAGCGATGAATGGCACATTCTGGAAGGGCGCAGAGAGTAGAGACTGGTCTAGAAGACTGGTCTGTCTTCCAAGGCCTACATCGTGCAGGAGTCCCTTTCTCTCTCGGCCTTCGGCTCTGCAGACAGGGGTCGCACCTGGTACTGGGCGCTCGGGAAGCGCTCCTGCACACGCCGGAACAATTGCCGGAAAGTGGCGCGAACCACTACTGGACAGGCTCGAACTGAGCGGCATATGGCGCTCAGCAGCGCCACCACGTGGGCACGCAGCGTCTGCGCGCTCTGCTCCAACACCTCAGCCTCCGTCTGTGGGCGGTGCAGCCCAGAGCACCTGTATGGGCAGGAATTGACCAATAGAGGGATCTTGGTCAGCACTTGTGAAAACGTGGTAGCAGGGGCTCCCTCGGACGTCGGACAGAGAAAGGACAGGTGCACCCAGACAGAAGGGGCAATAAACACTTGCACACAATTATGCACCCAGCGGTTGCCCCGCCTCACCCTACATCCTTAACTTCCACTTTGCTGGGGTCCAGCTCCACGTACTTCTTCTCCTCGAACACCCTGTCAATGACGGGGCCCAGGATGCCATGCAGATAGCGCATCCCTGCCACCTGGGGGCAACCATAAGCCACGCTAGTTAACCATCCTGTGTACTGTCTGACAGCAGTACCGATTCAGCCTTGCACTTAGAGTGACTCGTGTACCTCACGCAGGCATGAACAAGCGCATGTAAAGATGAATGGATAGATGGATGATGGGAATTTCTGGCCTTCAAGGGCCCTAGCCACAGACAGAACTGCCCTCTGTGGACCTGAGGGTCTTCATTCTCTAAAATGACCGTGCATCCTCACCTTCAGAAAAGACTCCATGGATTTGGAGGCCAGGGAATTGCTCCGGAAGAGGGTGTTGGCCTCACCTGCAAGCACACGTTCTCATGGGCATGGAGCTGGGACAAGGCCTTGGGGGCGGGAGGGTGAGCCCTGGGGCGGGGTCTCTAAGTGGTCCCGCAGTGAATGGACTGCTCAGCAATCCCCCCTGCACCACCTGGACTATCTGTTCCTTTTAGGGAGGGGGCAAGTCCTCCTCCACCCTGCCTGGGGCAAACCCTCTCAGGCCTCACTGGTTCGGCCCAGCTCCAGCCGGAAGAGCAGGTCCAGAAAGTCCTTGGCGAGCCCCTGCCCCAGGAAGAGCTTGAGCAGGGTGGTGGCCACTTCCTGGCGACACTCGGCACTAGTTGTCTCCTCGATGACAGGAATCAGGTGCCCTGGGCCCTGCAGAAAGCAGGAGAAAGGCAGTGTTCAAATCCACCAGGGATCCCCAGAGAATCATGGAAAGATTGTTGTTCTGCAGAATGGGTTCAACTAAAGCTCCATTTCCCTTGGGGCCTCCTCACCTGGTTGTCCGGCTTCACCTCCTGGCACAGCAGTTGGACGAGAGGCTGGTAGCAGACAGAAGGCAACACGGTCTCATCCCGCAGCCGCACCTCCAACTGCAAGGAGCCCAGGTTGCCCCTGGAATGGGCAGTCTGTGATCTCTCCACCAGGGACCCAGTTTCCCTGGGCCACACCCACTCGCGGAGGCTCAGGCTTTTTCCCTTTGAGATTAGCTTTGCATTCTCTTTGCCCATGCCCATCAGCTGCTCTGCAAGCCCCCCCTCCAGCTTTGCCTTTCTCTGTCCCTGTCTGGAAGACACTTTTTTGTCTGATTACCCATCCATCTTCAAAGCCTAGTCCTTTCATGCCTCCTGACTCCGGTGGACCATGGGAGTCCACTTGGGTAGACCAAGCTCATATTCCAAATCTATCAACTCCTAAACACCACCAACGTCACCTGTACGCTTTACCCAGGACGCGAGTGCTTAGCCTACCAGACAGACTCAGACTCAGGCAACACATCGCTGTAAATCTAGCCACCAAGATTTCACTCTGTGACTCTTCTTCGTGCAGAGGGCACCGACTAAGGCTTGATGTTCTTCATGGCTCCCGCTCCCTCCCCGTAAGGTACACCGAGGAGGCCACACTGTGCAGCCGTCAAGACTGTCTTAGACACCGAGGAGGCCACACTGTGCAGCTGTCAAGACTGTCTTAGACACCGAGGAGGCCACACTGTGCAGCCGTCAAGACTGTCTTAGACTGCTTCTAGGCAAATGCCTCTGTTGGACAACCCCTGGCCATCTGCCCATGCCCTGAGATGGGTACAGATGAGGGATATGGGACCTCCTTCAGGGATCCAAAGCTGGGCAAGCCAAATCGGTGTGAGCAAGACAAAAACAAGCCAAAGAATTTTCTAGATGGGCCACAGGACGGAACAGATTAAAAACACAAGACACCAAGTGAAAGTAGTGAATTTTTAGTATCAGTATGGCTTGAATACTGCCTGATCTTCTTTCTCCTTTGAGACAAGGTCAGACCTTGTATATACGGGCTAGCCTGGAACTCTGCATCCTCCTGCCTCAGCTTCCTAAGTGCGAATACCTTGTTTGCATTGTTCTTTTCTCTCTCTCCCTCCTCCCTCTCTCCCTCCCTTCCTTTCTTTCCACAGGGTCTCACTATGTAGCTCTGGCTGTCCTGGAACTCGCTCTGTAGACCAGGCTGGCCTCGAACTCACAGAGAGAGGGCCGGCCACATGAGACCCTCTCTCAGAAAAACTTAGTTTTGAGATAGGGCCCTTGCTCTATGAACCCAACTGTCCTCCAGCTCTAACACTGGGGTTACAAGTGTGTGTCGCTCTGCTTGTCTCGAGGCACCTCGTTTGTCTGCACACTTGCACGTGCCCCAACGCATGTTTGGGGGTCAGGGGATCGCTGCTCGCCATCATGACAGCACAGGGTGATCTGGTGTTTGTTTTCTATCTTTGTGGTACTGGAAGTTAAACCTACAGCCTTGTGCCTACAGGGCAGGCACTCCACAACTGGTACGTCCCCAACCCTGCCTTGCATTTCATGTGACAAGTATTTTTAGAGACTCTTGGGGGATGAGGGCTCAGAGCCACGGCTCTCTAGGGACTGGAGATCTGAAAGAGAGCCCTTTAAAGGAGACGGGTCTGAGGACTTTTTATAGCAAGCGCCAGGACATACTAAACAGGGGATCCGTGCCTAACCGCTCGCTCAGAAGTCAAGGAGGCTGAGGAAGGGGCTGTCATGGGTGACGCTGAAGCACACTTGAGCTCTGCCCTCTTGGACCCCGAGCTGCCAACCACCTGCAGGCACTCTGTCTCAGCGCACCCCCCAGGCCCCAGAGTGGCACTCACTCGCCTCGCCGGCTTCTGGACTGGTCAGGCTGCAGTCGGAACCAGCCTTCTTCCTGCTGGGCTGAACACAGTCTCTGGACATTGACCACCACCTGGGGAAAGGGCAGATCGGGGCTGGGACGCTCAGGTCACCTCCTGGCCACGTACGGATCTTTGTTCTTTTCTTTTTAGGGAGTTGGGGATAGAACCCAAGGCCTCAGGGACGTGCTCTCCCCCTGAGCCACACCCCCCTCACTAGAGGATTCTAGGCAGGTGCTCTACCACTGGGCGATGCCATCAGCCAACAATAACTGTTGTCATGACTATTCTTGGTTGTAAACCTGACTACATCTGGAATTAAGTAAAACCCAAAAATAGAGGTGACATCTGTAAGGGATTTCTGCTTAATTTGAAGTGGGAAGATCTACTTTTGTTTTTGGTTAGTTTTTTATTTTTCAAGAGAGGTTTCTCGGGCTGGAGAGATGGCTCAGAGGTTAAGAGCACTGACTGCTCTTCCAGAGGTCCTGAGTTCAATTCCCAGCAACCACATGGTGGCTCACAACCATCCGTAATGAGACCTGTGCCTTCTTCTGACCTTCAGGCATACAAGCAGACAGAACGCTGTGTCTATAATAAAAAAAAATCTTGAAGAAAAAAAAAAAAAGAGGTTTCTCTGTGTAGCCCTGGCTGTCCTAGAACTCACTCTGTAGACCAGGCTGGTCTCGAACTCAGAGATCTGCCCACCTCTGCCGCCTGCGTGCTGGGATTAAAGGAGTGTGCTACCACACCTGGCTCATTTTTTTCTTTTCTTTTTTTTTTTTTAGATAGGGTCAAAACAAAACAAAACAAAATAAAAAACGACTAGCTGATTCTCCTGTCCACACCACCCAAGTGTAGAACTGCAGATATGGGCCACCAAGCTTGGCTTGTTATTTCATTTTTTTCCATACTGCATCCTGCTATGTAGCTCAGGGTAGCTTCCATTTGCAGCACTCCTCCTGCCTCAGAATCCCAAGTGCTGGGAGTGCTGCTATGCCGGAATTACTTTTCATTTTGAGACAGGTCTGGCTAAGTAGCCCAGGCTGGCCTTGAGTTCACTCTGGAGATCAGGGGGGCCTTGAAATGAAGGTCTTGTCCCAGCCTCTCAAATCCCTGGGATGGCAGGCTTGCATCGCTAGACCTGGCTTCAAGCACCGTTCTTCTAGGGCAGAGGGGCACCTTGAAAGGGTCCCAGAGCACCAGAGCTGCCGGCTTGGAGGATCCCAAGTTTATAGCCTACGACAGCAGGTGGCATGGCAGGAATGGACACCCAATGTTGCAGGTTGGGGGAGTAACCTGGGGAAGGTGGGTGTGTGCGGCCAGGGCAGGTGGGGTGTGGCCTGGACAGGTAGGGGTGTGGCCTGGACAGGTAGGGGTGTGGCCTAGGCAGGTGGGGGAGTATATTCTGGGCAGGTAGGAGAGTGTAGCCTGGGCAGGTGGGGTGTGGCCTGGGCAGGTAGTGGGTGTGGCCTAGGCAGGTGGGGGAGTATATTCTGGGCAGGTGGGAGAGTGTAGCCTGGGCAGGTGGGGTGTGGCCTGGGCAGGTAGTGGGTGTGGCCTGGACAGGTAGGGGCGTGACCTGGGCAGGGGGGAGTGGGGTGGTGCTTACTTTGCCTAGAAAGTCATTCCTGCTAACAAGGTCCCAGTCCCAGGCCTCCACGGACAGCGCTTCTGCAGCTTCCTCCTCCAGATCAAATTCAAATGTCTCGTTCCAGCGTGGGTAGCAGGATTTCTTCACCACCTGCTCCGAAAGGGACAGTGGACTCGGTTCACAGGGCTCCCCAGAGCAGGTAGCCCTGCCCTACACACCTCCCCTGGCTCTGGGCTGGTAAATGCTTCCAGGCCCAACCAGGAGTGGCGGAGCAATCCTGTCAGGCACTCCAGCTACTCAGGAGGCAAGAAGACAGAAAGTCCAAGGCCAGCCTGGGCAACTTAGTGAGGCTCTTGCTTCAAAAACAAAAATGATGCCAGGCAGTGGTGGCACACACCTTTAATCCCAGCACTTGGGAGGCAGAGGCAGAAGGATCTCTGTGAGTTTGAGACCAGTGAGTTCCAGGGTAGACTCGAAAGCTACACAGGGAAACCCTGTTTCGGAAAAAAAAAAACAAAATATAAAATAAAAATAGCCGGGCGTTGGTGGCGCACGCCTTTAATCCCAGCACTCGGGAGGCAGACGCAGGCGGATCTCTGTGAGTTCGAGACCAGCCTGGACTACCAAGCGAGTTCCAGGACAGCCTCCAAAGCCACAGAGAAACCCTGTCTCGAAAAACCAAAAAAATAAAAAATAAAAAAATAAATAAATAAAATAAAAATAAAAATGAGCTGGGCATTGGTGGCGCAGGCCTTTAATCCCAGCACTTGGGAGGCAGAGGCAGGCGGATCTCTGTGAGTTCAAGGCCAGCCTGGTCTACAAGAGCTAGTTCCAGGACAGCCTCCAAAGCCACAGAGAAACCCTGTCTCGAAAAACCAAAAAAAAAAAAAAAATGAATGCCTTAAATTTATGAATAAGGAAAATAGCAATTGCAGGTGACATCCCCGTCCTCACTGCTAATGTGAGACCAATGTTTGAGTCCCCGCTAAGGTGCCCCACCTTATGAAGAAAGGGCTGGGGTGTGGCTCAGTAGAAGAGCATCTGCCTAGTATGTGAGTCTAGGATTCAGTCCCCTGGATTGAAGAACTACTTCATAAGACACCACACACTCCACCAAGGGGGAAACTGAGGTCCAGAGTGGACGTGGACTGTCTAAAGTCACATGACAAATCAGAGACTTCGCGGAGAGCCCAGCTCTGGGCAGGATCCCTTAGGCTGCCACCTCCATGATGATGCTCACAGAACTCCGGAAATCTAGACCGGGAAGCTGTTCCAGAGTTTCCACGTGCCCCACTCCTCCCCTTCAGTCACCGCCCACCCCTAGTGTCCTCACCGAGGTCTCCCGTGTCCGGCCATTGTAGTGCACTCGGACAAAAGGGTCAGATGCACCATTCCGATCCTTTGGGGCTAGGTCCCTGGGGGTGAGATGGGGACACGGGATTACTGCTCTCTCTCACACACACTCTCTCACACACACACACATTCTCTCACACACACTCTCTCACACACACACACACTCACACACACACACTCTCTCACACACACTCTCTCACACACACACACACTCTCTCACACACACTCTCTCACACACACTCTCTCACACACACTCTCTCACACACACTCTCTCACACACTCTCTCACACACACTCTCTCACACACACTCTCACACACACTCTCTCACACACACACTCTCTCACACACACTCTCACACACACTTTCACCCACACACTCTCTCTTTCACACACACACCCTCTCTCTCACACACACTCTCACACACACACTCTCTCTCTCACACACACTCTCTCACACACACTCTCTCACACACACTCTCTTTCACACACACACTCTCTCACACACACACACTCTCTCACACACACTCTCTCACACACACTCTCACACACACTCTCTCACACACACTCTCTCACACACACTCTCTCACACACTCTCACACACACTCTCTCACACACACTCTCTCACACACACTCTCACACACACTTTCACCCACACACTCTCTCTTTCACACACACACCCTCTCTCTCACACACACTCTCACACACACACACTCTCTCTCACACACACACTCTCACACACACACTCTCACACACACTCTCTCACACACACTCTTTCACACACACACTCTCTCTCTCTCACACACACACACTCACACACACGAGCAACAAGGAGGAAGCTGGAGCCAGAAGGGACAGTAGGGAAGGCACTTCTCCTGGAGTGTCCGTGAGGTGAGTCACAGCCAGGCCCAGACAGGAGTGGGGACAGAAGTTAAAAATACCCTAGGGCTGGGGGTTAGCCCTGTCACAGGTGACTCAGGCTCACACAGCCATTCAAGCCATTGTCCCATCGCCACACCCTGTCTGGACATACCAAGTTTTTCCCTTGTGCCCCATGACAGACCATGAACACACACACACACACAGACACGCCACACACACACACCACACACACCACACACACACATATGAACACACACACCACACACACACACACCACCACACACACACACATACCACGCACACAGAGACACGCCACACACACTGCACACACACATATGAACACACACACCACACACACACACACCACCACACACACACATACCACACACACAGAGACACGCCACACACACCACGCACGCACACACACATATGAACACACACCGTTTACACCTGGGTTGGATACAGAAGCCCAGGCCTAGCACTGGGACACTCGTGTCTGAGCACACAAGGGTGCGGACAACCTGTGACCCCTGCTGGACAATCAGGCCATCTCTCCCCTGAGCGCAGGCTTCGGTGGGAGGAGGCAGAGGAGGCTGGGCTTCTACAACCACAATCTCCGCCCACACCCCGCCCTCAGCCCGTCTCACCTGGCCTCAAGCACGGAGCAGCGCAACCGCTTGCCATGGGTCCCTGGCGCCACCTCCAGGCGCAGGTGGATCTCGCCCTGCACCTCCTCATTGGGGTCCACTTCAGTCAGGGGGGCCCAGCCGCTGAATCCTGCAGGGTTGCATGTCAGCCAAGGACGGGGTCCACCCCTCCACCCCACCTGACACCCCAAGCTCCTCCATTACCCCTCTAAGTCCTCTGAATATTCCCGGCAGATGGAGAAACTGAGGCCCAGGAGCTGAGCGGTGGTCGGAAGTAGGGCAATGTTTACTTATAGGTGTTGTGTGGGGCTGTGCTTTTCTGAGCACGAGGGGCCAGGGGTGAATGTTGGGTATCTCCCTCTATCTCATGCTCGGAGACAGAGCCCCCTACTCAGCCTGAAGCCCCCCATTTCCGCTGGGCTGGCCGGCCTGTGTACTCTTGGGTCTTCCCCTGACAACGCTGGGGTTTCAGGCGCAAGCAGCCATGCCTGGTTTTTACTTGGTTCCTGAGGATTTGAACTCAGGTCCTCCTGCTTTCCCAGCAAATGCTCTTCCTCACTAAGCCAACTCCTGGTCCTCCACGTTTTCATTATGAAGCAGGGTCCCATGCAGCCTAGGCTGGTCTCACTCACACTTTGTATCTGAGGGTGACCTCACACTCCTGATGCTCCTGCCTCCGCCTCCCCAACGCCAGGGTTACAGGCACACACCCGCCACACTCATTTTTGAGATGGGAATTTAAGTCAGCGGCCCCTATCAGTCTGGGCTTTGGTTAGAGGCTCCCGACCCCCCACTGGTTGTGGAACTGTCCACCCTATCCTCAGCTTCCCCACCTTAAAACACGGGAACAGTGGCTCCCTCCAGGCTGCTGGAGTGATAACCTGCGGGAGCTACAAGGGACCCAATAGCAAGGAAACGCCCCAGGAGCACCTGGCCAGCCGAGGCTGCCTGGAGAGAGGCCTCTGGCCTGGGCTAGCCGCGCCAGGAGGCTCCGTGAGTCAGCAGAGCCTGCCGCCCCCGCATCCCCACCCCCAGCCTCACAGACAGGAACAGGTGTGTGCCCCAGGAAGCCATGAGACAAGTCAGAGGCTCAGCTGGCAGAATTCGAACACCGAGAGCTCCTGGGCTCAGCCCTCTGAAAAGCCCAGAGAGGCCAAGATGTGTCTGAGGTTACACAGCGAGACCAGGGCAGGGTCGAAACCTCCAAAAACGGTGTGCACTCCAGAAATAATCCAAGGGGCCCTGAGTCTGGACCGGCGTCAGGCCAATCCCCTTGCGGTTTGGGACTCAGTGGAGAACAGGAGTTACCCTGCATGGCAGGAACCAGGTGTTAAGTAGACCACTGGACATGTGGGGCATCTTACCTTTCGGGTGAGAGGCTAGCGTGTCCCTCGTGAGGCAGACCTTCCCAATAACATCGTCCCGACTGGGAGTGGACAGAGAGTCAGGGTTGAGCTAGGGAACCAGCTTGCCTGGAGCCCAGCAAACCCAGCCCTCCAAGCTCAGCTCCCACCCTCCAGGAGGCCACTGCAGGACACAGGACCCCTGTGCAGGCTCTCTGTGGGTAACCCCGTGGTACATGGTGTTTCTGCACATGAGACCTAAAACACAACAAGCTCACGCCATCTGGGAGCTCACATCATGGCTCACGTCACAGTGCACGTGCATACGTGTGCGGCGAGTCCATGCACGCTCAACCCTGCCCTCTGGACACCCCGGTGCAAAGAGGATTCAAAGACCCTGGTCCAGCTGCAGAGCAGGGCGGACTCACCTGAGAGCGTCCTCATCCATGACATAGAAGGCCACCGCATGGAACGTGGGGGGTAAATGCACCTGGTACTCCTCACCCCAGAAGGGGCACAGGGTCTTCCACACAGTGGCCGTCCTACAGGAGAAAACCGCTCAACATCCGACCCGCCCCCCCCCCCCACCTTCATGGCATCTGGTACCCGGTAATCACACTGGCTGGGCGTGGGATGTTTCCTGCCTGTCTGGTTGTGGCTTCCGGTCCACCCTGGATGGGGTGTGAGCTATTGCTGTAATGTGGGAGACTGACCCCGCAGTTGACCGCAGCTGGTCCTGAGTAGTAGGGCAGGGGTGGCGCAGCCATCCCCGTCAGTCAACCCTTGGGGTTCAATAGGGCACATGGAGCTGAGGTCACCAGTGGCCCAGGTAGATGCTCAAGGGGAAGCCCCTTCCCAACTGCTTCTCAGGTAGGTCATGGGGACACCATGCTGTTTGCTTCTCTGTCTGTAGGGGACAATTAGAACCGCCAAGTCCCTTCCCCTGTGTGCTGCCCACGGTTTAAAGGAAGCCAGAGTTTAGGCTTAGCTTGCCAACTGGGACAAGGCGTCAGCAATGGCTGCACCTGTCCAGGTGTGCCTTGCAACCCCGTAGCTCTGGTCACGGACGCTAGAGGCTGGCGTCTGGGTGGGGGACAGGACAGGACAGCAAACACCAGTCCATGGTGTTGCAGTCAGAGAGCTAGCTCATTGGGTGACAGAGCCTGCTGCCCAGCCTGACAGCCTGGGACACACATGGTGGAAAGAGAGCCGCAAATTGCTCTGTGACCTCCAACGACAAGCCGTGGTGCATTCTCCCCTCATCGATAAATAAAGAAACAATAAATGGAGCCGGGCGTTGGTGGCGCACGCCTTTAATCCCAGCACTTGGGAGGCAGAGGCAGGTGGATCTCTGTGAGTTCGAGGCCAGCCTGGTCTACAAAGCGAGTTCCAGGACAGCCTCCAAAACAATACAGAGAAACCCTGTCTCGAAAAAACAAAAAAAGAAACAATAAATGAGTGAATGTCAACGTTTAAAAACAAATCAGGGTGGGGAGGGCACCCAGAAGAAGGGACCCTTCTGGGCTGAAGAACGGATTTATTAGGAATGATCTTGTGAGAGAGTCTCTCGAGGAGAGTACAACAAAGTTCTGGGGTAAGCCAGACTTGACTTCCCAGATCCTCGGGTGTGAGGCCCCGGGCAAGCTGCCTAGCCCGAGCCTTGTGGGGAGCAACGACACACTATCCATCGTAACGATTTCCCAGGGCTGATGAAGGGTTAGCGAGGAGACAGCGGAGACAGGGCTGTCATCACTATGGGTTTGCAAAGATGGAGCCGGGCAGACGGCAGTTGCTTGCCCACGGGGCAGCCGATACGGACAGCCTTTGAGTCACAGGCGGGCCTTTCTCCGCTCAGAGGCAGTACAGGAAGGAGTCCCAGAGGGATTAGGGCCTCCCAACCTTCACCCCTGTCCTCCGGGAGGAGCAGGTGGCTGGCGGAGGGCGGTCAGCCACCCTGGGTTCAAGGAGTACCTGATGATGGGCTCATTGTCCACCTTCACGATGCAGTAGGGGTCGCTGCTGCCTGAGCTGCAAGACAGAAGGGCAAGGGGCCGGGTTGGCTGGGAGGCCTGGGGGTGGGGGAGGACTAGGGCGGGACCCTTGCCTGGGGGCGGGGCTAGGGACACTGACGGGGTGGGGCCTAGGGCGGAAAAGTTGCCGGAGGCGGGGCTTATGGGCGGGGCTGGAACAAGTTCGGGAGGGGCCTGGGGTGGGGGCAGAGAAGGTGCTGGGGACAGAGCACTGGGATGGAACCCTGGCTGGAGGGAGGGCTGGAGGGCTGGAGGGCGGGGCTGACGAGAGGCCTGGAGGAGGGGCTGAGGGGGACGAGCCCGGTGAATGAGGAACCACCGCGGGGGCGGGGATAGGGGCGGGGCTTTGTGAAAATCTAGGACCTGGGCGGGGCTTGTGAGGACGTAGGCGGTGGGACTTAGGGAGAGCTTCTAAGCAGGACCCAAAGAGGGAAGCTTTCCGCGGGTGGGGCTGGTGGGAGGCCTGCTGGGGGCGGGGCCTGTGGGAAACTTTCTAGGGGCGGGGCTTAGGCAGCTTTGGCTCTGGAAGCTTATTTCGGGGAGGGGAGTGGGCGGCGGGGGTGGGGAAGATGGGCAAGGGCTTCTCCCAGGCAGCGCCCCTCCTTCTGCATCCCGAGAAGGCACTGGAGACCTGGGAAGGGGATGAGGAGGGACCCAAGGGCTTCCCGGTCCACGATGGGGCGGCCACGCACTGCTCCTTCCCCACGCCTCGGCTAAGCGCCAACACAGTCTTAGCAACAAAGGCATCTCTCAGCACCTCCCACCGCCACACCAAGGGCTGACCCTGCTGCACGAGGCAGCCTCCTCCGGTAAAACCCTCTCCCGCCCCGGAGACGCAATAGGGGGTCCTCCGGGATCTGGCTCCTACTACACTTCCATCTTCCCCACCCCAGCCGGGCAAGAGTGCACCTTTCCGTCACCTGCCTCCCTACAGGGCTGCGAGCTAGTGTGGGCGAGCATCGCGATGTTGCTCAGCACAGGACAAGACAGGGGCCAAGTGTTTATTCACTGAGTGAGTGAGTGAGTGAGGAGTGAGTGTGTGAGTGAGTGTGTGAATGTGTGAGTGAGGAGTGTGTGTAAGGAGTGCGTGAATGAGCAGTGAGCAGTGAGTGAGGAGTGAGTGAGTGTGTGAGTGAGTGTGTGAATGTGTGAGTGAGGAGTGTGTATAAGGAGTGCGTGAATGAGCAGTGAGCAGTGAGTGAGGAGTGAGTGGCCCTCAGCGAGGGGGCTGGAGAAGGCTAACCCAGGGTTGTGCGTATCTATACTGTGGAGCTCATGAGACTATGAGGGTGGTGGGCAGACAGGCGGTGTGTGCAGCGCACCCCTGGGGTTTGTCGTTCATAAAAAGGAAGTACACTTACATGCACTTAGTGGAAGTGCATTCCCCTAGTAGAAGCTGGGGGAAATGCAATTCTACTTCCCAATTTATTTTATTTGTTTATTTTCAGATACTGGGGATGAAGCCAGGCTCTCCTGAATGTGAGGCGAGGACTCTATGGCTGTCTGTCATTGGAGATTCTAATCTTGCTGCTCAGCCACGCCCTCAGCCCCTCGCTGGGGCATTCTAGGCCAGGGCCTTACTGATGAGCCACCTCCTCAGAGACCCTCACTGGGGCATTCTAGGCCTGCCTTCGAGCTCTAAGCTATATTCCCAATCACAACTTCCCAGCTGTCTACAGGTGCCCTTCAGGCAGGGAATGCCACTGGGGCCGAAAGCCCCCCAAAGAAACCAAAACCCCAAAACAAAACAGGAAGCATCTGCTCAGACTGTTTGGCTTCTGGAAAATGGGAAGTGTGGCATCAACTCTCACGGGTTAGCTTCCCTGAGTCTGAGACATCATAAGGCTGGTGCACACAAGGCCATAGATATTGGTGGCACTTCACTGGTGGTCCCTGAGATCACACAAGTACTCTCTCCTCCAGTGAGTCTACCCTCCAGCACCCTGATTCCCAAAGCTGTAGGATTCCAGGTCTCAAGCAATCAGGTCCTAAGTGCATGAAGATCAGTGCCCACGAAGGTGACATGGTGTTTTTTTAATGTGTGTGTGGGGGGTGTCTGTGCACACATGAGTACAAGTGCCAGTGGAATCCAGAAGAGGATGCTGGGTCCCTGGAGCTGGAGTTACACGCCCCAGATGGGTGCTGGGCGCCGAACTCAGGTCCTCTGTAAGAGAGTAGCATTCTAAACCCTGGGGCTGTCTTTTTATTGTTTTATTTTTTGAGACTGCTTCTGGCTCTGTAACCCGGCCTGGTCTCAGGCTCTTGATCCTCCTGCCTCAGCCTCCTGAGCACCTGGGTAACAGGCACCAGCCACAGAGAGAGCCCAGCTTCTTTCTGGGCCCACCGGAGGGTTCCCTCTGCCCTGCTGGTGCTTCCTAGTTCACGAGTTGCTTAGTGTTTTGCTGCAACCCCAGTGCTGCTTAGCTGAATGAATGGGTGAATACCTGAATGAATGAATGAATGAATGAATGGATGGATGGATGGATGGATGTTTATAGGCTGGAACAACGGCAGGCAAACCTACAGCGGTGACCACTGGAGAATGGACCAGAAGGAGGCAGTGTCAAGAGTGAATGGACATCCAACGTGAAGCCGTCTTTGAGGAGCAGGCACCTGTGGCCTGACAGTACTCCCCATCCTCGTGAGCCTGTGGAAGGGCCGTCTTCTTCCACCATTCCTTCCCCAGGCCAGTGGCCACTGGCCCAGCCTGGCGACCTGTAGGCCTCTATATTTAGGGCCTTGGCAGTTTCGAGACCGTGGAAGAGGAAGGAGGGGGCAAACCCTGAAATAGCCGGAGGCTTGTCCCCAGGGCCACAGGGTGTAGGCACTGTTCCACACAGGACTCAGCTTTTTGCCCCCTGACCCAGGTGCCCAGGAATGGAAGGTAGTAGGGGACGGGCAGGCAGAGAGAGAGAGAGAGAGAGAGAGAGAGAGAGAGAGAGAGAGAGAGAGAGGATCAGAGCCCTCCTCACCATGGCAGCTGAAGACTAGACCCACTCTAGACCCACTCACAGAGGGGTGGCAGGTGTGGTGGCACTCATAGGCTGTCACGTGCCTTGGGAAGCAGAGGCAGGATGGTGAGTTTGAGACCAGCCTGAGATACGTGCTGAGGTATGCATGTCCCCATGGTACAGGGAATGCAGAGACAGAGAGACAGACAGAGTCTCTGCCCTCACACCTGTCAGGGACTGGCAACCTCTGGACTCCTCTACTCAGTGACCAAAATGTCCAAGGGCAAGAGCAGGATCTAAGAACCCTTCCCAAAGGCACTAGGGAAAGCCTCAGATAGGAAGTTTGAGAAAGGCACTGTAGGATGAATAGGAGTTTTCTGGGAAGGGAGGGTCTTCCGGAAAGGAATGTCGGAGTGTCCCTAACATTTAAAAGCAGAATTGATCAAGAGAACAAACGTGGGGCTGGCATTTATGCGATAGCTCAGAGGTGATTTTCAGGTCACAGCTGCGCACTCAGCCAGCCACCAGGAGCAAGCAGGGGAATGGTGACCAGGGGTGTTAGGGAGGTGAGTGGGGCAGGCTGGGAAGCCGGGTCTGGAAAGAGATCCCAGAGTTAGGACCCCTAGGCCTGGGTAGCCCCTCTCCTGGGGGTGGAGACCCTGCCCCAGAGTCCCAGAGAGGTGAGGCCCAGGTAGGCACAGCCCAAGAGCTGCTGGAGCCAGGCCCCAGAGCCAGCGGCTGGCAGGGATGGGGAGGAGGTGACAGACGGAAGGGGCTGCCCCTCCCAGCCGCCAGCAGCCGGAGGAAGCCAAGATGACCTGGTTTACCAGGGCCCAAGGAAGGGAGGGGGCCTGGGGGCGGGGAGGGCATGGGGGGGGCGGGGGACCGGGGGGGCCGGGGGTGGAGCCCTTTGCAGAAGAACATCTATCCCCCATCCTAGAAACCCAATTCCCACTGGCGCCCCTCCTCCCTCCGCGCACAGAAACCCACCTGGAGACGGCCACCGCCTCCCTCCCCATTGCCATGGCAACTGCTGAGCTGGCCTCTTCAGGCCCAGGGGGGCCTTGAACTGGAACCGCTCCTGGCGCTGAGAGTGCTGGGAGAGTCTGCCCGCCCGGGAGGGATGCCCTCCCGCCTCCGCCGCTCCTGGCTTCTGTTTTCTGCAGCCGGGAACCCACTGGGGACCCGGGGCCGACTTTGAACCCTAGGCCTCTGCCGCCGCGTCCCTCTCTTTAGTTTTATGATTTCCACTTCTCCCCGATACTAGGATTTCAGAAAGGGAAACTGAGGCTTTGCAAACAAACAAGGAATCGTCTAAGGCTGCCCGTAAGAAAGCCACGAAGCACATTCTAGGCGCCCTGCAGTTGATCTCGGGAACCCATGAGAAACAGTGTGATAGAGGGGTGTCTGCAGCCCCCCAAATCTGGCCAGCGACTAGAGGACGCTTTATAAATCACGGCAAGGCAGGTTAGGAGCCCCAGATTCAAGACCTTGTTTTGCCACACCTTCAGCTACCGTTTCGTGTCTGCGGGCCTCGCTTTTTCTATTCTGTAAAATGGACCGAAGAGAAATGCCTTGCAGGGAGCAACTGAAGGGATGGGTTCCCGCAAAGTCCAGGGCGATTCTAAACCCTGTCTCTCTGGCCCCCCGACTGACTCCCCCACTTCCCTGCTTCCCCTGCAAGCAAGCCCGGCGGACAACTCGGGGTTATTACGGGCCCCCGAACTACCGGGAAACGGCCCTGGTTTTCAAGGGGGGCATCCCGCCCCTTCCAGCCACCCCTGGGCCCGTATGCACCTCGGCTTACCGCCTCTCCCGAATCCAGACAACTCCCTGCCGTCTCCAGCCTCCCCTCCATCCCAGTCGGGCACCCACGGCCGGTTTCCCCAGCTCCCTAGCCAGTCCCGCTCCGTGTCTGCACGCGCCACACCCTCTCCGCCGCTCTCCCCGTGGGGACCCCCGCGAAGGTCAGGCAGGTGCATGAAAGAGAAGCCCGGCCAAGTTGGGGTAGCACCCCTGCCCCGCTACTCACAGGTCCTTGGCAGGCAGGTTTTTCCCTTCTACGATTCGGATGGACAACGAGCTGCGCTTGGCCATCGCGGGTCGGCGACGTGGGAGGCCTGGCGGGGAGGGATCCGCGCGCCTCGGGTCCCCTCCCGGGGGCAGCGCGAGCGGCGGCGCGGCTGGCAAGCCGGTGCCAGGACAGGGAGGGGAGCGCCGGGGCGCAGAGCGCTCCTCCCCGCCATTCACCCCTCCCCGTGCCTCGTGCGGAGGGCGGGAGCGGGCCGCGGGGGAGGACCAATCAGCGGGCTGGCTGCACGCAGCGGGCGTGGCCTACGCGGCACGCCCCCTCCCGTCGTCGGCCGCCCGGAGCGAGGAGGGGCGGGGCCTGAGGGGAGGCGTAGCACCCTGGCACCGGGGACTCCTCCGCCACCTGAGTCCCCTGGGGGGCGCGCGATCCCAGAGCGAGGGCCCAAGCGAGCGGAGGGACCTGAGCGTGTGTTCAGGTAACGCGCAATTTGTGCAGCCGTGCAAAATGGAGATCGGGGTCGCCCTGGGCACCGGAGTCTGCGTGGGGATGTGCAGAGTTAGCTGCAAATCCATGAATGAATGCGCTCTGCCAAGGCAGTGTTTGTGACAGGCCAGGAAAGATGTGGCGAAGACCTGGGCAGCTGAGAAGTTTGGCGACACCGAGTCTGGAAAACAGGGCTGTTTGGGTGGTGGTGTGGGGGTGTTTTGTGGTGTGCTTTCGTGCATACAGGTGCACACGCGTGTGTGTTTGTAGAGGCCAGAGGTCAGCCTCTGATATTCCTCAAGATATGTCCACCTTTAAAAAGACTGTTTTGCATTGGTTGGTTGGCTGTGGGGGTGTGGATTGAGTACCGTGGTCCCAAGTGGAGATCACAGAGCAACCTACCCGCAGGAATCTCTTTTTGCCTTCCACTTCGTGGGTCTCAGGGATCAAACTCGGGTCGTCAGGCTTGGCGCAGTGGCCTCTACCCACTGAGTCATCTCCCCTGCCCCACCTCGTGAGACAAGGTCTCTCACTGGCTTGAAATTTACCCTGTAGTCTAGGCTGGCCGGCCGTTGAGATCCAAGTATCCACCTGCGTGGATACAGGACACAAGAGTGTGTGTGACACCATGGCCAGCTGTCCTTCGGTTCTGGAAACTGAACTTAAATCCTTTTGCTTTCAAAGCCATTTACCAATTGAACCATCTCCCTAGCCCAAGATCTGGACTCCCGCCCTTCATCCCACCCATACAGGTCCTTGAGTTTACTAGGCGAGAGCTCTGCTCCTGAGAAGGACACCTCAGGAGCTCACGCAGGCTGCCCCAGGCGGGGCCACACTTGGTGTCCCCTGGCACCAGGTGACCCTAGGAGTGTTCTCACCTACCATGGTCCTTCCCCCACCGACACTCAGAGCCACCTTCCTGGGATGGCCCGTTTCTGTGACTCCTTCCCCAATCCAATGGCCAGAGCTCCGAGTCCACAGGATGGGTCTCCTCCATGCCAAGCAGCATCCCTCCAAGTCTAGCTGCAGGCTTGAGCCCCCTCGCAAAGAGCTGACCTGTCACGGATGAGGAGAAGATCGTAGGAAGGGGCGTAGAGCACAGATTCTCATTTCTGTAAGACTCTAGCTTCCTAATTTAAGCTAAATACTTATCATTTGTGTGCATACATGCCGCATTGAGCTCTCGCTGGGAGTGGATGACAGCTCTGAGGAGTCCGTTTGCTCCTTTCTCGGTGGGTTCTGGGGACTGAACTCTGGTAAGGAGGTTCTGAAGCAGGAGCGTTGGCATGATGAATTACTTCACAGTCCTACCCACCCCCCCTTTTAAAATTACTCCACAAAAGCGGAGCATGGTCTCAGATGTCTACGATCCCAGCCCATGGTGGGCCGATCAAGAGTTCAAAGTCATTCTTGGCTACCTAGTAAGTCCAGGGCCAGCTATGGGCTACACAAGGCCCTGTTTCAAATTTTTTTCTTTTTTCTTTTTTTTGGTTTTACGAGACAGGGTTTCTCTGTATTGTTTTGGAGGCTGTCGGTCCAGCCCGGCCTCGAACTCACAGAGATCCGCCTGCCTCTGCCTCCCGAGTGCTGGGATTAAAGGCGTGCGCCACCAACGCCCGGCTGTTCATGCATTTTTTATTAATTGCCCTGTTGACGGGACAGCTAGGCCACTTTCACATTTTGACTGTTTCAAACAGATGTGTGAGTTTCTGTGTGGGATGCTGACCTGAAATTCCTCTTTTCCTATTCATACATGAACCACACCCTCTTTGCCATATTTAAAGCCATGCATGGTGGTACATACCTGTAATTCCAGCACTTGGAAAGCAAAATCAGGACAATCAGGAGTTCAAGGCCGAGTCTGCCTGTAATGAGCTCCAGGACAGCCCAGGCTACATGAGACCCTCTCCCAGGGACAAAGCCACCAGCAGACAGGAAGGTTGCCAACTGCCCCATGACCCCGACAGATCGCCTCTCACTGATCTTACAATCTTTAAGTGACATATACAAGACAATGATTCCCTAGGGCATACTTTTGACTATTTTATTTCTCTTTTTAAAATTTTATTACATTCTAGCTGGGCATGATGGCTCATGCCTTTAATCCCAGCACTCGGGAAGCAGAGGCAGGCGGATCTCTGTGAGTTCAAGGCCAGCCTGGTCTATAAAGTGAGTTCCAGGACAGCCAAGTTTAGGCAGTGACGGAAATCAAAACAGAGCTGGTGAAGATGTAATTGAGTGAGGGGGCCGTGTTTCAGCCCCAGTAGCTTCAGCCACATGGTTCTGGCTTTAGAGTCAAGGCCAGAAGACAGGAGTTATTCCTCCACAACTAAGGGAAGCTGATGAGGTCAGGCATGTCAGGGGTGGTCCTGAATGGAGGCCCAGAGAGGCCACTGTGTGAAGCTGTGACAGAAGCCGGATTGCCTTGAGGACCCTGAGATGTTTCAGATGCCGGAGTCATGGGATACTTGCTGAGGAGAGCTGCAGGGAGAGGACCCAGCCCAAGAGAGAAGCATGTTGCAGCCAACAGCTGAAAGGAGTTGGAGATCTGAAGAGCATTTTGATGTTAGACATGGAGACACAGAGTTTGGTGTTTGCCCAGCTGGCCTTCGGTCTTATTTTGGTCCTCACTATGCTCCCTTCCCTACCTTTTGGAAGGGTAATGTATATCCTGTGCCATTAAATTAGAAGTATGTGGTTGCTTTTTTATTTTTTTCATTGTAGGGGGGATTATAGTTAAGAGATGGCCTGAATTTCAGAAGAGACTTTGAACTTTGGACTTTTAAACACTATTGAGACTGTGATAGACTATGGGGACTCTTGAAGTTGTTCTAAACCAATTTTGTGTTAAGATACTGTTACAAGTTTACGAAGGCCAGGGGGTGGAGTGTGGTATTTGAATGTGATTGGCTCCCAAAAGCTCATAGGGAATGCGTTATTAGGAGGTGTGGCCTGGTTGGAGGAAGTGTGTCACTGCGGAGGTGGGCTTCCAGATCTCATATGTTGTCTCAGTTCATTTCCCGTTGCCCTGGGGATCAAATGTAGCAGCTCCTCCAGCACCGCGTCTGCCTGCAGGTCGCCATGTATGGCCATGGTGGTAATAACTAAACCTCTGAACTCTCAGCCAGCCCCAATTAAATGTGTCTCTTCACAGCAGTAGAAACCCTGACTAAGACAGAAGTATAGCACTTTCCTAGGAAGCACCAGGCCCTAGGCCTAATCTCCAGCACCACATAGATAAATAAAAGCATTTTTTAAAGCCCTAGACTAACGGTGTCTGAGAGTTAGTGCCTGTGGTGATATCTTTCTTGCATAAATAAAGCCTGTCTGGGGAATCAGAGAGAAGGAGCAGGCCACAGCACACCTTACCTCCTAAGCATCTCAGCAGAGAGGAGAGCGATTTCCCGTTTCTCCCTGCCTATATCCTGCTTCTGCACAGCTACGCCACTTCCTGTCCGTCTGTACAGACCTCCAGACCTCTAAGTTTAGCTAGTGGGTAGCTCCATTCTCTGACCCCCAGACAGGCTTTATTGGTGCAAGAAAGATATCCCTACAGTGACTTGTGGTGGCTGATGAGTGCCCAGGAGCCGTCCAGCCCGTTCATAGATTCACGGCTACACTGTGAAAGGCAGCTGTCCTTGTACCCTCTGCCTCATCCTAGGATAAGAAGCTTCCCCTGCTGGGGCGGCCTCTCCCACACACATTGCTCCTACACCCCAGAGTCTCCCTCCCCCTCCTATCTCCGTTGCCCCTCCCCCACCCCCTTTTTTTCTTTCCTTATACTTTCCCTGGCCCCTTGATCCTCCTGCCTCAGCCTCCCGAGAACTGGAATTACAGGCATACATGGGCCACACACTCCCATAATTTCACATCAAGGTTAAATTTACAGAAAACAGGAAGCGGAACTTGGTTAGCAGAGGCTGGAGCTAGGGGAAAGGGTTTGTTTAATGAGTTTAGGGTTTCAGCTTATCAGGGTGACAAAGTTCTGGAGATCTCTTGGGCAGCAGTGTGTGTGCCCCCATGAGTGGCTAAGACAGTGAGTTTTACACTCCGCGATCCTACTATCTGTTTATTAAGTAGGGTAGCATGCTTGCCACACGGGCCTTAGGGAGTAGTTCTCTCCTTCTATCTTGTTAGTCTCCGGGTTTGCGTATAGATCCACGTGTGGCGGTAAGCACACTCACCCAGGGAGCTGGACCGTCGAATGTTTGTCTTCAACCACGGTAAAGTAGTGCATCCAACTTTGCACACTCATTTGAGGCTATGAAAACACTATTATTGGGCTGGCAAGGTGGCTCAATGGGTAGAGACGACTGTCACCAGCCTGATGACCTGAGTTCTGTCCTCAGGACACAGATAGTGGTGAGGGGAGAGAGCTGACACCCGAAAGCTGTCCTCTAACCTTGTGACATACAGACACTGACAGACAGAAAGACAGGTACACACCAAAAAAAATGTTAAAAAAATTATTTTGAGGCAGGGTTTCTCTGTTGCTATCACTGGCCTTGAACTCTTAATGTAGACCAGGATAGCCCTCCAGCTATATGGGCCAATCTTCCTGATGCTGCCTCTGGGGTGCTGGGGGTGCAGGTTTCCCACTCAGTTTTTGAAGCTTCCTGCCTTGGCTTGTGGCTGGACTGGGTTTCTTCACACGCATCATGCGTTCCTGGGAAGCTTGGAGTTTATTCCAAAGGGAGAAAATG